CCCTCATAACTTAGGATCAGTTATTCAAGTTTAAAGGTTGTACATTTCTTTAACTTGTTTGGCAGTGGATACAAATTATGTCTATTGATTTTATTTTGTGTTAACTACTCTCAAAGTTTGGGAAAAAAACACTCCTGAACTCCTTCAAGTCCTCAGGCCTGTTTCTACTTCTAGTTCTGTCTTCTTAAGTCAGCTGGAAAATAAATGAGTTTGATTGTGTGTCCGCTGTTTGTTGCATAACTCTGGTGTGGTTCAGCAGAACAGTACAAGAGATCCTTCCAAATATTTATTCTCCCATTGGCTCGAGGTGAATCCTGCTGCCTTCTCAAAAAAGTCAGGGTGAAAATTTGGCTGTTAGCGTTCACACATGCAGCTCCTTCTAAAAAATATCAGGAGTTTTTCAGGAGTTTTCTTGCAAGTGTGAACACCCTATTAAGAGTAAGAAGCAGCTCAGCTTGCAGCCCCTGAAATGTGTTGCAGAAAGACTAAACTTTACGTGAAACTGCTTTGTATGTGTCCTGTGACTAAAGGTGATCAGGCCTGTGTCAAGTCTGTGTCCTTTCTGGATCTGAAAGGTGCATTATAAATGAAGATACTTTTATTATTTTAGGGGTTTAAATGAGTCCTCTGCAGACAATTCAGCTCTCAGTAAGAAACTTTGTGTGCATGAATCACAGAGAGTTGTTCATTTTAGGGTTGAATTAAAAGCCTGCAAGGTTTGCTCCTGCATTACTCGGTGAATGATGACACGTCTTGCCGACTGGTCTTCTTGCTTCATATTTCAATTTGTAAGGGGGCAGCTTTAAAATATTCTATGTTCTGTGTCTATAACCGTGTAGTGAGGATTAGTAAAGTATGGACTGTTTTAGCGGTCCTGCATGAAAAGCAGGTGAAGCATTATTTTCTGATCAGCAGCTTTAACCTGTCTAAACGTTGTGGTTTCTCTTCGCATGCTTTCACACTGGAGTTTCCTGTTAGTCATCGTTTTATAGACTTACCTTCATCCATAACCCTGTTTTTAGAAACCTTGGAACATTCATTTCCTTTAGTCTTGGATGTTTTTTGCATATTACCGAGCCCAGTGTACAGCTCCATACAGTCAGAGCTGTTCAGGTCGTAAGGGTCTTGAGCCGTCTGGAATGTAAAAGCTGTGCTGGGAGGGGGACCGGACAGATCTGTCGTCTGACGTCAGCACAGTTCACTGACAAGGCGGAGGAGGACGACGAACCCCCGGGGGGTTCAGGCTCAGCTAAGATTGCAACTAAAGGATAAAAAGATAAAAAGAAGAAGAAGGAGGTCTAGGAAAAATAACTTAAACCTCTGCTGTCAGTGCAGGGATCTCCTCTGGATCAAAACCAGAGGAAATACTCCAAAGAGATCAGACTGTGACCAAACACAAAGTCAAAGGCTTGGACAGAGACTCATAAGAACCGGACCAAATTAGGTGAGGTAATCTTGAACATGGCACTAATCTTGTAAAGAAGTTGGGAACTGCAAGAGACCAGGTTCATTCTTACTTTCACCACTGATGAAAGGAATGAGAATATGTGATGCTTGATTAAGCAACGCTTTCTGTTCTGCTGTTTTCAACAAAATAGATGAGTGTTTCCTACTTGTCATTCAGCAAATAATCCCAATTTTGTCACATTTTCAATATTATGAGGGATAACACCCAACAAGGTGTCCATTTTTAGATATTTATGGTCGATGTTCAGGCAGTTATTTCTGAAAATTGACACCTAAAAGGACATTCTCTCACTTCAACCATGTTCACTTGTCAAATCATTTAAGATCATGCCAATGTCATTTTTGGGCCAACTGGCATCATGTGATGTTGCAGTGCCAGGTTTGGCCACCATGTAAAATAGGCTTCAAGAGTCGGCGTACTTCTTGGGGGCTTGGCCTCACCCCTGAAGTTATTTTAAAAAATCACCCCCAAATAGTGTGTGCCGATGAAAAAACAAGGTATGCAGACCAAAAAAACATTTGTACCAGGCCGTAAACATGTTTATTTGTGCTGTAAAATCTGACATTTCAATGCGACCCAATGGGATTCCTGTGCTTCTGCAGCCAGCCTCAAGTGGACACTGGTGGTACTGCAGTCTTTTTACGTTGGCTTCATTTTTTTAAATGCAAGTGCATTCGTGAAAGGGGGTTTTAGTCTTGTAATTTTTGGAAAAGCAATTTGGTTTAAAAAGGCTCTTTTGGGACAAGAACACAAGTTGACTATTAGGTCTGAATCTGATATCTGACATCATCCCTATGTTTGTGTTTCAAAACTCACCTGCTGAGACTTTAACTCAAATCTGTGAAACTTTTACAATTAAATTCCTAGCTGGATTGTTTCACTGTTGATGCACTTTCAGTATTCTCTGCATGTCTGTGTGTGTGTGTGCGTGCGTGCGTGCGTGCGTGTGTGTGTGTGTTTAGGCCTCTGTTGTCACATTCACTACGTGTTAGTATGCAGAGCGTGGGTTGGCAGAGATGCCACTTTCTCAGAAAATCAGCCCCCTCCTCTCACAAAAAAAAAAAAAACATCCCGCTCAACGACACCTTGCAGCTGGAAATCGGTCTTGCTGGGTTGCCATGGTGACGGAATGTGGGGTATCACCTCCTGTTCATTTCTCTTCTGGTACCTCTCACTCTTTCTCCTCGGTGGGGAAGCTGCAGTGCGGAGGTGACAAGAGTAAAGGATGCTGGGATACCTCCCCCGCAAACCCCTAGTGGTACGATCTGAAGTCAAGGTCACTCCGAGTGTGTGTGTGAGAGCGTGTGTGTGTGTGTGTTCCCAGCTCTGTCTCAACTTAACCAGAAGGCGAAAGGGGATCCTCTCAGACAAGTGAGACTAGTGCTGCTAGTTATGATGTTTGTTCCCATGTGGATGTGTGTGTCCTATATCAGGCCTCCGTCCCTGTCAGCTGAGCCAGCACAGACCTGCAAACGAGTCATCGCTGGCCTGAAGAGGAGGGGTGTGAAATCACTTTACACACACACACACACACACACACACACACACACACACACACACACACACACACACACACACACATATTTCAGTGGACACTCCTGGCTTGTGTGATGTGCTTTATAGACCACCAGTACAACGTGTTCATGTTTCTGAACCACAGCAGGACATAATGGCCTGTTAAAAAAAAAAAAAACACTCCATGTGATTGGCTCATGATATATTTTGTTGTTTATCTGAACCTGTGAAATCCTACCTTTGCACAGTCTAAATATAGCAGCAGGTGTGATTGCAGGTCGTGTTTGGCTTCTGCGGACGAGACAGGAGTGAGTGTTTATCAGCAAAGGTCTGTGCAGAAACAGCAGGCTCATGTTGCACACACACACACACACACACACACACACACACACACACACACACGGCTGCTGTTGTCCTTTTAAAGCTGGATGTCATGCCTCCACAGCTGAGTTGTAGACAGGAGTCACCTGAAGCACAAACTCCTCCGCCTGTGTCGCTGCAGGTTTCCTCCGCCCTCGTCTCGTTTGATTTGCTCATTAAGTGGCGATTGACGCCTGCTAGGATTTCCATCATGTTGCTGTGTGTGGTGTCATCTGACAGCAGCAGTCTGAGTCAGCGCTGGCCCACTTCTGTGACGCTGCTGTTCATCTGAGCACACTGGGAGAATGTAGGGCAAGTGGCAGAACATGGAAATACTGCAGGGAAAGTTGGAAAACTCAAATCCCTGAAGCAGATTTATGGGGGTTTGTTGTCACTGCTTGTTTGGATGAATCAGCTTTAAAGGAGGGCTGACAGTCGATGTGCTTCTGTGTGGAAGTGTTGTTCATAAATACTGCAAACTTTTTCACTTTGCAATCTGACCACCCGCCAAGTACTCAAGTTCAGTTTTCTGACGTGCAGAAAACCTTTTGGTGCAGGATTTGCAAAAAATATTAAAGAGCTTTGAAACTTTTTTTAACATGTATTTTCTTCAGCTGTATGTTTGCTTTGCACATGTTTTCATGCTGTGGGCGACACCTTTTTCTGGAGATGAGTTTCTGATTGGAGTGAGTTGTCTTGCATCGCTACTATGGTTTTTTTTAATTCTCTGAAGTGAATAAGACTATCCTGTCTTCATCAGGGTTGTGTCTGGTTCCTTTTATAAAAAAAACATGTAGGGTGGCTTTTAATGGTTACCTTCATGATAGCGTAAAAGTCGGATTATTTTAAGGTTCACTGGTGTATTTTTTTTAATCTATAATATTTTATACAATCCCCCCCCCCAACCAAACTCAGTTATAACATCTTAATATGAACATATATCCATTCATATTTGCGGCACAATTACTTTTGAGCTGCTGAAACTAGACAGTGTAAGCTTTGATTCTGTAGACGGACTAAAAGCGTACTATTAAGATGGCTTTTTTTTTCTACTTTTGAGCTTTTTAACAATTCCTAACTGAAAGTGATGCAAGCGAGGAAACATTACCATTGTGTGTTGAAGTTCTTCATATTGCTGAGATATTCAAAAGGGTTCAGTGTGAATAGTTAGTTTATTTGAGTTCTTCTGCTAAAGGTTAAACAGCACATTTGCAAAGTCATTTAAACGCAAGATGAATCACTTTAAACATCCAAAGTCTTTCAGAAGTCTAAATAGAAGGATTCAAACCCTCAACTTTGAGCTACAGCCGCTTGTCATGTGACCATGATAACCCCCTCCACCCCTCCGCTTCTCCTCTGTTACACAACAGGAAGTGTTTGAAAAAAACACAGTCCCAACAACATCAACCAACACACAGACTGTTTCCACCCTCTGTGTGTTTACAAAACTCTGCCTCACTGTATCACTCATAAAGATTTACATCATAAAGCCTCTGGGACGTGACGTGCACAGATCAGAGAGGAAATGTCTGAGAGAAAATGAGGGGAATGACGACACGCTTACCCGACCAATTTCTGTCTGAAAGAAAGCCGAGATATGTTTGCTCATGACGCCCCCGCTTTCTCTTTCTACCCCTCCTCCTCTCCCTCCCCGCAGTGCGAGGATGTCGCCCGGGGAAGATCGTCCAGATGACAGAGGCCGAGGTTCGTGGCCTCTGCATCAAGTCCCGGGAGATCTTCCTCAGTCAGCCGATCCTTCTGGAGCTGGAGGCTCCGCTCAAAATCTGTGGTCAGTAACCTCTCTTTTAATCAGCTTGATATTCCTAAGGTATCTTTCTATGACCTCCCGCTCCTCACTCCTCACCTCCTCTACCTTCCCAGGTGATATCCACGGACAGTACACAGACCTGCTCAGGCTCTTCGAGTATGGCGGCTTCCCTCCAGAGGCCAACTACCTGTTCCTGGGCGACTACGTGGACAGAGGGAAGCAGTCTCTAGAGACCATCTGCCTGCTTCTGGCCTACAAGATCAAATACCCCGAGAACTTCTTCCTGCTCAGGGGCAACCACGAGTGTGCCTCTATCAACCGCATCTACGGCTTCTATGACGAGTGTGAGTCTCCCTGCTCTGCTCTCTTATGGGGTGCAGATAGCTCAGTGGTTAGTGCCATGTACGGAAGATATGGTCCTCCAAGCAGTCGACCCGGTATCGGATCAGGCATGTGGCTTATTTATGCCACTAAGAGGCCCAGATTTGTATTAGGGGTGCAAAGATTTGATGACATTGCAGACCAAAATCGCTGACAAAATTAGTTGCAGACGAATTGAATTGCCAATCATTAGTTGGTTAGGTTATCTACAATTCTACAATTCACTTAGCAGATGCTTTTATCCAGAGAGTAAGAACAACACAAGCAAGGATCTAGAAAAAAGGGAACAATGTCAGTAAGAGCAAACGATCAGCTTTGAGTCTGATTGGACACACAGGTGCTGACAGGAAGTGACCAGAGGCAAAGCACAACATTGAGGGCAGTTCTTGAGAGCTCTAATCAGTATAGAAACCATTTTATAAGTCGTCGTTATCAAACAAAAACCATCGTCATTACCATCATCATCATCAATAATATGGAGACCATCATCATTAAGTTAGTAGGTATTCATGAAAGAGCTGGGTCTTTAACTTTTACTTAAATGTGCAGAGGGACTCTGCAGATCCAATGGAGTTTGGAAGTTTGTTCCACCACCAGGGGGCGACAGAGGAGAAGGGTCTAGTCAGCGTCTTGGGACCCTGTTGTGAAGGTTGGATCAGACGCCTTTCATTGGCAGAGCGTAGTGGACGGGAGGGAGTGTAGACCTGGATGAGAGAGTTAAAGTAAGGAGGAGCCGTTTTAGTCGCTGTTTTGTAAGCGAGCAGGAGAGTTTTAAATTTGATGCGAGCAGTAACTGGGAGCCAGTGAAAGGAGATGAACAGCCGAGTGACATGTGCTCTTTTAGGAAGGTTGAAGTCGTGCTGCTGCATTTTGTATCATGTGCAGAGGTTTGATAGTGCATGTAGGTTATCGTTATCGTGTACTGTTTTCCGGAGCTGAGTTGCTGATTGGAGTGAGCCATCTTGCATCCATACTATCTCTGCTCAGAGTTAGGGATGCAAAACAGCGCCTAGAAGCAACAGGAAAACACACCACAGCATTATTTGGGCTACATGACGTTATCAAACATCTAAACTGTGAGAGCATTTCACCCTTTGACGTTGCAAAAATTCCTGCTTTGGAGTCTTGACCGAGTGAATGAGCTGCTTCAGTCAGTGCCTCACATCCTGAAAAGCAGGAGGAGGGTTTTTAAAGGCTAACAGACTTTGGCCCCGGCATTATATCAGCTGCAGTTTGCACGTTTTAATGATTTCTGGAAGAATTTCAACACGTTCTGAAACTACAAAATGTTAGCTCAGAACAGAGACCTTATTTGTGCGTGCAGGATCCATAACGACTCTTAACTGGCTTTCTTGTTGACTCTTCAGGTAAACGCAGATTCAACATCAAGCTGTGGAAAACGTTCACAGATTGCTTCAACTGCCTGCCCATCGCCGCCATCGTGGACGAGAAGATCTTCTGCTGTCACGGAGGTCAGTGTGATTCTAAATGAGGTTTCAGGTTGAGGGAGAGTTCTGATACCTTAACTTCTGGTACAGCTGGAGGATGAAATCAACAAGCTATGACCTCCGTAATAGACTGTCAGTACTTTTGGTTTTTACTAATCCGGTGTGAGGAAACTGGGTCAGAATAAGTCAGCAGGTGAATTCATGCACGGACACAAGAGAGAGATTTCTAAAGAGATTAACGAGGTGATGTGTCGTCTGCAGGTCTCTCTCCCGACCTGCAGTCCATGGAGCAGATCAGACGCATCATGAGACCCACAGACGTGCCTGACACGGGTAGGTCACCACACACACACACACACACACACACACACACACACACACACACACACACACACACACACACACACACACCAATGTGCATACTGGGCCAGGTGGCTGTCTTCTTACTCCGGTCTAGTTTTTAATTTAATATCTAAGCTCCTCTAGATAATCTCTAAAGTCGGAGGTTGATGAGTATACATTTTGAATGTTGCACTGTTTTGAATATTGAGAAGCACAGATTCAGTCCAGAGCCGTTTGAAAATTCTGCATTTTAGTCTGTTTTCTGGCAGAATTATCAAACAAGTTTAAGTTTCCTGAATGTAAAGTTTGCTGCTTTTCTGTATCACTTACAACATAAAAATGTTAAGTATTTGGGTTTGGGACTTTGAGTTTCAGTAATTTATCATATAAACAATCGTAGCTGCAGCCCTTATCTAAACATTTCCCCTGTGACGCCGGTTACATCCGCCTGTGAGCTGACTTTGTGAACAGTTTGAGCTCTCTGTCTTGTTCGGTTTTTCATGCTAACAGTGCAGGGATCAAAACAAATCCATGTCCGTTTTCATCAAACTTCTCAGACCAGGGAAATCGACCGTAACAGGCCAAAAAAAGTTCTCAGAGTCACGCAGACTTGTTTCTACTTTTAGCCCCTGAGGGTGAACTCAACGTTTCTTAACTTAGAAATGACTCCCACCACCTCCTCCACCTCCGCCTGAACAGCATCTCCTGCTCTCCTAAATATCATCAGAGACTAGACGCACACTGTGAGGGAGGACAGATGCTGCAGTACCGGTCCCTGTTTATGTTTAGCTGCTTTTTAAGCTCTGTCGTCATCATAAAACACTGCTGTCACATAAATGTCTGCTTCAGAAATGTTTTGTAAAAATGAAGCGGTGGATGTGGGAGCTTTTGCCCCCTCTTCACCGGACCTGGTCACTCTTCTCCTTATAAGGCCGTCTGTGTTCAGGCTCTGGCAGCAGCCGTCTCTCAGGTCCTCTTATGGTCTTTCATGGAGGCTTAGAGTGTCTGGATGTGAAGAATGTGTGTATATATACATGGTCAGCATTGTGTTTGAATTTCATGACGTTATGAAAATGTGATTTGAGTACTTTAAGAATGCAGCAGAAACTTATTTTCCATACTGCGGCTCAGACTTGAGAGTATGGTTTGGGTCTTACTCTCCTCCTTTTCTAAAAGCATTATTAATAAGACATAGTTAAAGTTGTGTATTTCCTCCTCCAGGCCTCCTGTGTGATCTGCTGTGGTCAGACCCGGACAAAGACGTGCAGGGCTGGGGAGAAAACGACCGCGGCGTCTCGTTCACATTCGGGGCTGATGTGGTCAGCAAGTTTCTCAACCGCCACGACCTGGACCTCATCTGCAGGGCCCACCAGGTACGAAAAAAAACCCCATCCTGGACACTTAATGATTAAGTATCATTCTTTTTAAAGTTTGAGTTATTCTAAGATCTTGTTTTTTTAACCTGGGCCAAAGGGGGAGCACGATGACGCACCCCCACAGGGCTACAAAGATATAATATCAATGAGCTCTTTATCATCCCTATGTTCTCCTGCTCGGTCAAGAGTTCATTTCTAGTATTAAAAAAGCTTCACAAAAAGATCTGTTTCAGCAGATAACCTTTCTGTAAGCACGTAAGACACTTATTATCACAATCTTAAAGATATAAAGGGAAATCTTGTTGTACCTGTTTTATGAGGCATCTTAAAAGCAAACATTCATCCAGAAAGCTTAACTTTTCAACTGATAATGAAGTGTTCAAAGTTTTTCCACTGTGTGTCTGGCGCCCCCAGGTGGTAGAAGATGGTTATGAGTTCTTTGCCAAGCGGCAGCTGGTGACTCTGTTCTCGGCTCCAAACTACTGCGGAGAGTTCGACAACGCTGGAGGCATGATGAGCGTGGATGAAACTCTGATGTGCTCCTTCCAGGTACAAAAATTAGAGACCTAAAACATCTTTAAAAGAGTAGAGGGTACCTAAAGATGAACCTAAGTGAATGGTAGTATGGCAGTAAACGTTTGTAATTCTGCGGTTTTTAATTTAATTTTGTCTTTTTGTTGCCCCTTTATAGATCCTGAAGCCATCTGAGAAGAAAGCAAAGTACCAGTATGGAGGGATGAACGCGGGTCGGCCCGTCACCCCGCCTCGCACAGCGCAAGCTCCAAAGAAACGATGAAGACAAACGGAGGGAGGAAGAGACGCAGAGTAGCAGACAGAGAGAGAGGGGGGGGATGAGTGTCAGAGATCTTTTCACTACACAAAATAAACGAGAGCAACACTTATCAGAGGAGAAAACAAACACACCCAAACCTGTCTTTCATATTTCATTTCTTCCTCTGAACTGCTGTCACACTTCTTCTCCCTCAGTTTTCTTTCCTTTCTTCTGCACCCGTGTAACATTTTTAAACACAAGTGTTAAAAAAGAAAAATAAGAAAACAATACAAGGGGGTGTCATTCTGTAGCATATCAGAGTGTTTTCTTTTTTTTTGTCTTTGTCTTTTTTGCCTTTTATTTTTCTTGACAACAGAATGACAGCCAGTTTAGTTTACCACATCTCCTTCCTCCCCCTGCCTGTCTGTACGGGCACAACAGGTATTACTGACGACTGCTGGGTTTTCAATAAATAATACGAGAAATGAATCCACCCGTGTGGTTCTTAAAGTTTAGTCTCCAGAGAGACAAAGGCAACATCAACACTGCATGGAAACAGCACAACAAAGGTGAAAAGGTTTTGTCTCTTACAGGATCTATTAGTCAATCCAATTATTTCATTTAATGAGGGATCTTTAAAGAGACGTATTTAAGGCTGTAGGTAAGAACATCTCCATGCTGCCACACAATTCATTTCTAATGACTTTGATAAATTAATGAATAACTAAAGGTCTAAAATTAAGGCTGTGAACTTTCACGTGTTACTTGCATATTATTTAAGGTCCAAAATGAATGCATTAATTTAGTCCCATTCGGTGCACTGTACTTAATCCACAGTAGAGTTTTCCTGCAGCCAGATTGATGGACATGAACGACCCTGTGGTGCCTTTGAGTGGCTCATTTTACTCCAAATAATATAACACCAACAACCTTTTTCTAAAAATATTTATATATAAATAACATTTAAAACCTTGAAATAAAAAATAAATACAATTATGAACAACAAAAATGACACAGGACAAACACCATGATGTTTAAATGCTAGCGGAAGTTAGGTATGCATCACGCTCGGTAAGTATGAGCTCCACTGCAAAGCTGCTTTTTATTTCTAAATAAATGTCAATCGTTTCCGTTTGCTCATAAATTTCTTCCCAATGCAAACAATACACTTTAAAGCTATTACAAGTTAATTTAAGTTTTTAATTTTTAATTTTCGATGTCGTTACCATAGCAACCCTCGAACGTTAGATAGTAGCTACACCAATCATATGCCTTCACATGTATTTGGGTCATGACGTAGGTACCAAAGACAGCAATACAAAAACGGAAATAAAAAAGAATCAAACAGAATAATTATTAAAATTAAAAAAAAAAAATGGTTGTCATTTTTATTTATTTATGGCATTTATATTTGTATGTGGGAATTGCACTTGTGCACCAATTAAATCATCCCACCTTTCAAAACAATGCTTCTTGTAAACCTCTATTTACGGGATATACATCGACCCTTTTGTATTTGTAAAAGCCACAATAGTAACTTATTTCATTAAACTTCACATAAAGTACAGGCCCCTAAGCAGACATGTTATCTCAGGGTTACAACTCTGGCTTTCCTGCATTAAGTGAAATCCAGTCTTTTTCTCAAGAAATGAACTTGTTAACACAGGAAAACCAGAGATGTTATCTTGAGATAACCACATGAATAAGTTGATATCTCCAGAAAAGACCGATACTAGTTTTCACAAGCTTCCTGACTCAGTTTGCAGTTTTGAAGACAAACTTCTTCCAACAGGCAGAGACCTCGAGCAGCACCAGAATCATCGGAAACAGCCATCAGCCATCGCATTTTGACATCTACCGAGATGTGGAGAAAAGATGATCTTGTGGAGTGATGTGTTGCTTTTTTTCCAGCAGGTACAATTGGCAAAATGTTGGCAGCATGCAAACTCTTAAGGAGGACATTACATTCAAACAAGGCCAATCCCAAGTTAGCCAGAAACCACAAATCACGCTTGTTTCCAACCATCCATTTATTGACAGTTAAATCTACAAAGATACATCGTCCACATGCACAGGCATGATTTCCCTTTCTGTATCTCAGACGTGGTCGTGACATGTTTGGGGTCTCCTCTGGGTTTGTTGATCTATGTTGCCCATGTTGGATGATTTCCTGCTGCCATCACATTTAGCAACACAAGCACAGACGATTAATCACAAGGATGCAGCCCAGCAGCTCGTAACATTCAATCCATTATGACACCATAACTATTAAGACCAAACTGCACCTATAAACTGGATACTCATTATTTTACATTCTAACATTTTGTGCTTGTTGTGTCACAAAAAAAAAAAAATCAGGTTTTGAAGTTCTATAAATTAAAAAATATATCCCCGTATGAAATCACTAACATAGACCTGATGCTGCATTCACAGTCTGCAGGAAATGTGGTTAATTCAGATTCCTGCTGCCAGAATATAGTTCAAGTTTTAGCTTGAATGAACTACACTTTAACTTTGAGGGGACTGGCAGGTCTCCCACAACTTCTTTTCTTCAAATATCATTAGTGATGATGACAACTAAAAGCTCTACGTGTATGTTAAATAACAAAAAGCCATATTTAGTTTGATGTAAAAAATTAAATAAGCGCTATGAACCTCTAAACCAAGGCCCTATAGAAACAAAGTTTAACTGTCTTGCAGCTGGGCGTATAGGCTGGAACAAAAGTATTCAAGTCTAATGCAATATACCCCTAATGGTTCTTATTTTTTTCATCATATATTTTAAGATAATACATAAAAAACTCTAACCCTAAACCTTTTTTTAAAAGAGTGAGACCCCAGGAACAAAGCGTACAGCCTTCTTTTCTAAGTAAACAGACTCCACTAACAGATGTTATTTGACCCCGGCTTCCTTGACTGGATAGTTTTTTTTGTCTCATTTCGTGTTACACAACTATAAAGTGTGAGCTGAATTAAACTCATTCGCACAATAAGACAAGGCAACCCATCTGGTCAGAGGTAGATAAATCTCACCTGTGGTTTGAGAGGTTAAATTACTGTTTGGTGGATGTAAAGAGTGCCGTGTAGCAGCTGTTTCTGGTTAAATTAACGGATATTATCTGTACAAAAAAAGTGTCTCTACACTCTCTCGCTATAACTGCATGTGTGTTCAGATTGAACGAAAACAACGACAAAGGGCGAACTCACACTAGGCGAAGTGTCCGTACCCTGCTTAACGACAAGTGAATGCAGCATAGATTAAGCAGACATACCTTAACCTGCTTATTGGAAATAATCATTGACACAGTTTCCGTTTATGTTGCCCCCCTGCCCCCCTCCCTCTATTACCCTCTGTTAGGTCGCAGCCCTTGTTTCATTTTGAAGCAGCGGCGGTCACAAACAACAATCTTCGTTTTCATGCAACCTCTCAAGAGAAACTAAAAAATAAGCATTTTAGCAAAAAAGGAAAATAAATCAGTCAATGTGGATGGGGCCAAAGCTAACACAAAAATCCATCTACATAAATCTAAATCAATAAGTTAATTCCTATACATGTAAGAATGTTAAAGCACAACAAACAAAAATGCAATATAACAAAAAGTTGGCAGATTGGTAACAATGTGTGGGGAAAAAAAGAGAACGAGAAAACATCATATATGAAATACTCAGCAGAATAATTAGTCCTCATTGTAGTGCCTATATTATAAAACATACAGAGTTAGTAAAATATAATCTGAGATGCTTTATCAAAATGTCAGAGCTCAACATGTTTCATGTTTGTATACTCTGCAGCACTTCAGTCGTTCAACCAGCAGGGGGAAGCAGCCGCCTTCAAGCTGAGGAAAATGGAGACCAGAGGGGAGAGGAGACTGGAATTGGAAAATTGCCCTACGTGGGAGGACATGTTATGTGAAAATGGGCGTCTGGGAACACGCATGTTAAAGAACCAGCGACTGAGGGAGACAAGAAAACACAACAGATCTGTGAAGAGTCGGTTTGTAGTCGTTTGGTTTCTTGTTTTGTGGTCATTTGAGGCGTTTTTTCTTCTATACTTTCGCAAATATTTGTGTTTTTCTTATGGTCCTTTGAACCCTTTGACCACTTGGACCAGTGCCTGTTCCCAGTTTAGCCATTCAGTAATCCACCCATGCCCATTACACAGGTCACTAACTTCCCACTTGTAATTTACAATGACACGTCTGTTTGTCCTACTCATGTAACACAGAACCATTTCACTAGAAAATACTCAAACACTTCTAGGAATGAAAACAAAAACAAAAAAGTGTTAAACTAAACGTAGATTCACTCGGACCATTCAAGCCTTCAATCAAATTTTTTAAAAAGTCTCAAATATAAAAAACACACAAACACAAAAGTGACCAGAATAAGAACTACTTCTGTCCTATACAGTTCTTCTCAAATGCAGCATATTAGAGAGTGACTGAGTTTAAAGGCCGCATCAACTACCTGAGAGTTCAAGAAGAAAAACACAATATGAAGAGAGTTATGGTAATTTGGGATATCATGTTAGGAGAATAAAGTTGTACATTCATGAGAATAAAGTCCTTATATCATTATAGTCGTCATACATTTTTGAGAATAGAGCGTGATGAGAATACCGCTGTAATGTTTTGAGACTGAAGTTTTAATTTCAGGCTGTCATTAGCCTAAATCTCAACTTTATGGGGAATATCAAAAGGACCATCACCTGACTGCCAAAATTAAGTAATTTGATCATCTTGTGACGTTATAAGACACTAAAAACGAGTAAAAAATTGTTTTTTTCCCATTATATAAACATAGACAGTAGATATTTATGGATGAAGCCTGAGTGACGTCAGCCGTCTGTTCCTGCAGGGGGCTGTGGAGGCTCATCAGCAGCAGACGCCATGTTGGAAATGCTGTCTCAGTCTAACTTTCAGTCAACCTAACGACAGGCTGAGAGCTGAGGCGGCAGGCTGAGAGCTAAGCCTCTTGACGAACCGTTACATCACACCCACCTGTCAATCATGTCAGCTACGCGCCTAACTATGGATAACACGTATTGTTCATGAAATCAAAACGTAGCAGTTTTGAAAAAATATTCACCCCTGTACAGTGTGTGCCAGTGATGACAATAACTAATCAGACCTATTTGTTTGTACCAGGCTGTAAACATGTTTATTTATGCTGTAAAAACTGCTTTTTTGAATGTGTGTGTATGTAACTTCCTGTGTTCCTGCAGCCAGCCTCTAGTGGACACTCGATGAACTGCAGGATTTTACACTTTACACTTTTTTTACACTACATTAGCTTATTTTTCGCTTGGATTATTACAACTTTATTCTCTGAAAATTCCAACTCATATCTTCTAATAGTAAAACTATACTCTCATAAGTTATGATTTACTTGCTTGTGATTTTTTTGTCGTAATATTCAGACTTTATTCTCAAATTACAACAACGTTATTCCCCTACAAATTTATCCTCGTAATAATATAATAACTATATTTTGGAATCCTCAGATTTTGTTCCTTTGACATGGCGTTAACACTGTCGTAAATATCCGTCTCCATGACTCCACGTCTCTAGAGGACAAATTAAACATAAATAATCCTAAAAAAAGGTCAAACTAATCAATCCTTTAACCCGAGAGGAATTCTTTCTAACCTGCGTCTTCAGGTTAGCAGGAGGTCACGTCACCATCCTGTCAGTATTTTATGGCCACTTTCAGTTCAGGAGCTGCCGTTTCTCAGCGTCAGTCGCTGGTCGTCGATGCCGTCGCACACACAGCAGCCGACGGATTAACAGAAACACAGGAGGTCGTACAGGAGAGGTTAAGTGATGATTCATCTTTCATCAAGATTCTCCTTCAGGAGAGTAAAAAGTAAAAAGTAAGAGAGTCTACGGGCTGGTAAATGTGTGTGTGTGTGTGTGTGATTAGATCAGAGCTCTGAGAGGGAAGGACACGGCGGCTCCGATGGACAGACCCAGAGCTAAGAAGAAGGTCATCAGAGCGCCCGCAGTCTCAGCGTCTTTGGGCTCCACCAACCTGATGAGAGAGAGCACGAGGTTCAGACATAGGAGTGATAGAAGTCCAATACTTTTCTTAAACCTTATTCTTACGCCCCGTTTCTACCAAGCGGTTCAGATTGGTTCGGTACGATAAACATTTATAGGCGTTTCCACCCTCAAAAGTTTGGAATGGTACCAAAATAACCGATCCAGTCTGTTGATTGGTCGAAAGAACAGCCACTTCCTGTGTGACAGCGGTAAACACGGACAAACACAAAAGAGTAATTTCAAGGCTGTTTTGTTTTGTTTTTTAGAGTAATGTCAGCGTGTAGCACTGCCCCTTGGACGACCTCGGAGGAGCAGACCTTCCTAGGGATGATCGGCGAAGAGGAGGGGCGTGGAAACTGTTCCAGTCAGTCGGTAAGTTTCTTTGGTCGTCACTGAAGTGTTAGCTTTTTGCTCTGCTTGTACGGTTACGGTCTCATTAGTGACCGAAGTCACTTACACAAAGCTCACAGGAAAGCTCATGATCGATGTACAGGATGGCTGTGACAAACTATACCAAACTGTACTAAACCAAACCCTTTTAGGATACAGGGCTGAAGATGTTCTTTCTTCTACCTAACATAGTTTCTTATTATCTGCTGTGGATTTTTTTCAGCCTGCAGCCGGGAAACAGGTTGTACTGGCTGAGATGTAATCTCTCAGGGCCTGATAGAAGAATGTTACTACAAAGATGTGTGGTGTTGTGACAACACCTTCAAAGCCTCCAGACTCCGTTGACTAAAACAGCTGTGTTTATGTAAGAAAAGTTCAGTGTTTGTCTACTACACTTCACTACTGCCAGAACCTGTTTTTGTAACTGTGCTATATAAAATATTGTGTTGAAACAAGACTTAAAAACATTAAAGTCAAAAAGGTAAACAACAGCTGAAGATCCACCTCTCCTGTTTTTATGACGAGTAAAAAAAAAAAAGAAGTGTTTTTGTTGATGGAGTCTGGAGGCTTTGAAAAGACGTAACAGCTGTTTCTGATTTTTTCCAGAAGGACCCCACCAAAATATTTTCAAGCCAGCCCCACCCTTCACATCGAACTACACCACTCACACTGTGACACTCAGTCACGCTTTGCTGACAAGTTCCTATATTTTGAGAATTTATCTCAAACATTGGCTGCAAAATAAACAGAATAGAGACTTAAGTGGGACAACAAACGGTTAAAAACTAACAAACAACTTTTACAGAGGAAGCCATTAAAAGTGATACAGCAACAAGAAACTTCACAATTTGTGATGTCTGGTGTCGGTTCATTTTTCAGCTTTTACCTGAAAGTCCTCTCACATCATTTTCCATTCTTTGCTCGCCTCACCGTCTACTTATCGTTGCAGCTCAGATTAAAAGTGAACGTGTGCCGTCGTCAACCTTCTGTGGATCAAACATGACCATGGCAGATTGTTGTGAACTCACTGTGGAGCGTAGGACATGGAGAGGCAGACGAAGTAGCCGCTGGACAGGGAGAAGAGACACATGATGACGGTGAACACAGCGTCGTGGTGGAAGTAGACGGGCAGGTACGAGCGACTCTGGACGTTACAGAGCATGAGCAGAGGGATGAAGACCACCCGGGAGACAACCAGCGCCGGGAACAGACGAGACTCTTTGGACGGCTGCGGGAAAGATGCAAAGAACGAGTTGCACAAAAATTAGCTGATGCCATTTCCAAGCTTCCATAGTGTGTAGTTCAATGTTTTTATTCAGGTTCAGAACAGTCCGAGTCTTAAACTGTTCTGACTGTTACATCGGCCTCGCTTTAAAGGCACTAATACTCACCCAATGTATCCACGTGGTGATGGTCCGACCGAACCAGTCGTTGATGTTGAAGGCCAAGAAGCAGCACGTGGAGATAAAGAAACGCTCTAAACCAAAGAAAGAGAGAAAACTGGATCAATCGAGGTTATTCAGGTAGAGATATCCAGTACATGTAGATATTCAATCAATCAATCAAACACCTTTCAGACAAATTAAATTGCAGTTCAAAGTGCTTTACAAGAGTGCAGAAAAGTTATTGAGGAAAAAGTAGTTTATAAAATCATTGAGAGACTAATACACACCAAATATAAATGAAAAAATAAAATACGACACATAAAAGCAATAAGATATTTAAATTAATACATAGGAGAAGAATATTTAAAATTGTAGTAGGATAAAAAAGACAATACAATAATGATTAAGATTTGAATTTATATAAAGCACTATATAAAAGCCAGACTGAATAAATGAGTTTTAAGACTGCGTTTAAAAATCTCAATATTCTGGGCTCCTCTCAGACCCTCAGGAAGGTCGTTCCACAGTCTCGGAGCGTAACAGCTGGAAGCAGCATTGCCAAAGGTTTTTGTCCTGCTCTGTGGAACAACTAAGAGAGAGGAACTGGAGAATCTGACAGGTTCATAAACTAAAATCACATCTGATAGGTAGTCTGGTGCAAGGCCATGTAATGCTTTATAAACTAATAAAGGGAAACTAACAGGCAGCCAGTGTAAAGATTTTAAAAACAGGTGTGATGTGTGCCCTCCTTCTGGTCTTTGTCAGTACTCGTGCGGTGCAGAGTTTTGTAGTAGCTGAAGCCGATTGGTTGTGTTTTTAGGAAGACCAGAAAGGAGAGCGTTACAATTTTCAAACCTGCTAGTGATAAAAGTGTGCATTAGTCTCTCTGCTTGGCTCAGAGAGAGAATTAAGTGCGTGTGTTTACATGCAACTGATCCGCCGTGAAATCCTGAATATAATTTGCACCAGCGTAAAAGATGGAGTCAGGATTATGACCTCATGAGGGAGGAGAGATGCAGCCAGCCTGGTCTGCAATACACAATGAACGGGGATGAACTTTCACTCGGGTCAGGTGGCGTGCAGTAGGTGATGGTGGCGGCTGCACTTGTGGGAATAATGGCACATTTGTCTGTATTTTATACTGGTACATTAGTAGTATATTTTGTCCGGTTGAAGTGAAGGCAGCTCATACCCCAGTTAGTATTTGGAAAATATGTTCTGACGTCTGCAGTGACGGCGGGGAAGACGGACAGTGTGACGTGAACACAAACGTCACGCAGAACGCCATCACCCAGATCTGGAAATAGTAGAAAACAGAAACATTTTATGTAAATGAACCATGAACAACCATCTTATGTTTTGGTGTTAGTTAGTTGAACCTTGAACCAGTGGGCTCACCTTTTTAAAAACCTCCTTCACCGAGGCCTTAGCCGGCTCCAAGGACAGGATGGTGTGCTTGGTGGTGGCGTCTGATATTTGGTCCCCCGCCGCCTCGTCTGTGCTGTTAGCGTGTCCGTTCAGCTTTCCGCTCTCTGCTGCGCCGCTCTCTGCAGGTAAATATGTAGAAACATTTTTAGGGGAGAGGGCACGATAAGTTTTAGACTCTTCACTCGCTTCCTCTGAGATGATAAATTTAAATATAACAAACACAATGTGAAGATTATAACACAGCTTAACATTGGGGAGTGTCCCCCTTTCTGTTTCATCCGGCACATCACATTTAGTTGCTATGGTAACAACGATGCACATGTCTGCTATCACAAGTCACTTCATCGGACGCTGTGCAATGCAACAAAAAGCATCTGTGAGCAAGACAGAAAAAGGACGTTTTCACAGTAAATAATCACAACTTTAGTCAAGCAAATGTTTCCATGAGGTGATCAGACGATCTAAAGAAATGTTAAAAATAAAAACCAGAGTCTGAGCGCTCGGAAGTCCAAACAAAGTGTTGTGAAGGTGCTCTTTGGTAGGGGACACAAGGATTCAAAAAGGTGACAACCCCTCTTAGAAAAAAAGAAAGAAAGAAGTAAAAAGTCTTTATTAAATTGGATATTTTATCATGAAGTGGAGCAGCACCAGCTCAGTCTGTAGGGACTTGGGTTGGGAACCGGAGGGTCAACTGATCAAGTCCTGGTGTGACATAATTTTTAATTTGATACATGTAAGTCATGAGGGTTATACTGTAGTTATATTCTTAACCAACTGAGGATTGTAAATGCGTGAAATGTAATAAAAAGGAGGAAATAAATTCAGCTAGACGGCTTATCATAAAATACATGTTTCAAATGATTGTTTCGCCCGTGCTGTGGCGGCCCTTACAGAGTGTGCATGAAATGTGAAAAATACCTGATGCAGAACACACACATGCATGATGAGCACAGACGAGCATTTTTGTGGCAACTTTGGGGGATGAAACCGGAGAGACGTGGCGGCTTCACGGTTACAGCAAAATGTGTAGCTTGTATTTGTGTTTTCTTTTTTTAATATTTGTTTTGTTTTGTTATTATGTTTGAACATGTTTTGTGTCTTACCTGTGTTATATCTCACTACGGTTTGAGATCCTGAAAACAAAGTCATGGAATAAAGACACAGATGCATGCAGAGAGCGGTTTAGATCACTGCTCCATGACAAACAAACAGCTTTATACCAACCAGGATCTAACCGTGCAAGTAAAGTAGACGGGTTCATCTTAGTAAAACACACATGTGGATCTACAGGACCTGCATTATATTCCCCAGCCTTGATTTCTGACTATATCCACGATCCTATCTCTAGAATAAAGGCATAAAGAGCCCCAAAAATAAAACTTAAAAAGTAAGAATGTGCAACTTTTTCATCCAGTAGATTTCACCCCTAAGCACCAGCATTAAACCAAAACAAACTGCTGATTGTCGACACCTCCGCTATTTATGTGTGAGATTTAGTTTGACCGTTGCCGAGTGCTGATGTCATGAGGACAAACATTTACCTAGCAGGAGATAATGTGCTACAACCCAAATACTTCACTTTTAAAGCCACTGTGTCCGACTTCCACTGCTTCATTTTCACATAAAAACGTTTTTAACATTTCCTTCAAAAGTAAGAAAAAAATTGAAATTGAAATTTCATAGTTCAGTGAATGATTTGAGTGAGTGAGTCTCATTGGGCTTCGCAGCATTCACAGAGAACAGTCAGAGTGTGTGTCTGTGTGGGTCTCTCTCCGTTGAGTCTAACAGGGTCTGTCTTTGTCCCGGGCCTGTCAGGACTCTAATGGGATAAATGGAGGGGTCAACTCACTTAACGAGATAATGTTCCACTGAATTGATTTGATTTAACGGGACAGAGAGGCAGAGAACCGGCAGCAAACTCAGAGGAAAATAACACAACAGATGATCACTCACTGCCACACATGCTTCTCTTGATCTTATTTCTACTTGTTGTTAAGAACATCGATTCTGCAGGATGTTAAAGCCAAAGTCTCACCTTTGAGCAGCCCGTCTGTGGTTTCTGCCTCATACTTGTTACTATTGTCCAGATGATAGCGGGCAAATTCCTGCAGGGAAACAACAGATACCACAAATGAGGCTTTAACTGCAGCTGGAATAAACTAATTAAACACATTAAGGCAGAAATCCATCATGCTGTGTGTGGAGCACAAACATTTTGCTTTTTGTGCCGACTTACCCCTCGACGTCCGTCACAACATGCAACATAGTGTGACGAACGCCAGCCTTATTCCAAATGACTTTAACACCTTTTTCCACTTTCACAGATATTTTTCAAGGTTTAAATAAAAGCAATAGAGCGTTCCCGGAGTCGTGAGGTGCTCTCAATCATTTGGGTAAAAAAAAAGAAAATGAGCCTGGAGAGTTGTAATGTCAGAGTAAAGAGCGATTGAGACTCTCGTTATCTGATATTGCAAAAATAGTTTTCTTCAATCTGCTTTGAGCATTTCTCCTAAAATAAATAAAAACAGACAAATCATGATAACTGAAGCTGAGTAACAACCCACAAGTGTAACAAATAAAAACCTTCTTCATGTATTCTACATCTTCATTCATCTTTTCTCTCTGATTAAATCAAGAGGTTTGGTATAATCGGAAGTCTTTAGCTTTGGCTTATTTAAAATATACTAAACAGAAAGCAGCAAAGTGGATCGAAAGTAAACATGTCGGGGTCTCTGAGAGAGAGAGAGAGAGACAGAGAAAGGGGGGGGGGGTTGCATTATGTAGCATAGCAGACTGGGAGATAATCTTTGTATGATTTTAAAAATTGGAGGTTTTCAGTCTGAAGTCTTATTGAGTCTTATGAATAGTGTCTTGAGATCACTTTTATTGTGATATTTTAACAAGAGAAGATTGACTGAATAGCATCTGTAAGACTGAGTTTAAGGGGCAACAAGTAGAGATATTTCAGTCGAGGTGAGGATGAAAGGATTGTGGGTAATGTAGTTTTTGGAGAGAGGACTGACCAGGCGTGGCAGCAGCATGTAGCTGAAGAGCGTTAACAGCGTCCCCACACATGGCGTGACAAAGTAACCCAACGCTGCCGTCTCAGAGTCGACATCACCTGAGAGAAGAAAACACAGATTATTAAGATGAATGACAACACGTTTCAAAAAGGACACAACGTGAGCTGAGCAGAGTGAGCCGTGTCGTACGGATTTGACTACATGTGCCAACCTTTCAATTTGAATAACTTCTGTTACCAGGCAACAAGGGATAAAGCACACAGTGGTGATGTGAGGGTGTGTGTGGGCGGCTTACTGCCTATGGCTATGAGCATGGCGATGGCAGCAAAGGTCCCGGCGAGGCCCTGCCCACTCATGAAGATGGCGCTGTACTTCTGGGGCAGCAGACCCACCAGGCCAAACAGACTGCCCTGCAGCACCGCACCAAACGCTGCACAGAAGAAACAGACATTTTATTTATAGATTTACAACGTGTTCACTGCTGCCAGCCTCTTTTTTTACTCACACACACTCTGACTTACAGTTAATGAACCAGATAGTAGCCATGGTGACGGAGAAGAAGCTGTCTTCCTCCATGGGCACTTTTACCAGCACAGCCGTGAAGATGAAGAGCAGCAGGATAAAAACCAGGCTCCCTCCGATACGGATTGCCCCCGATATCCTGCAACAGGAACATGGAACATCAGTTATTTAACCAAATACAACATCACACTGGGTCAGTTAGATACAGAGACGTTTTATAAGAAGTGGACACAGGTGGTTTTTAAAGTCGAGGGTCCAAGTGAAGTCAACACAGAGGTGCCTCCTAATGGTCTACATCAGACCTATTCAACGGGCGGCCTAGGGGCCAACTCAGGATGACATCAGACTGGCCTGCAGATCAATTCCATGAACAATTAAAAAATAAATAAATTACAACAAAAAAAAAACAACTTATGAATGACTGTCATTGTCGCCACTGTAAAGTGTGAAAAACAGCACAGCACTCCCGTTCCATAGAACATCTTTGGTCCTGTGATCGCAGCCTATCACAAGCTAATACTAACCCTATCCTGAAAACGTCTTGACAGGATGCATATTTTTCCAACTGTTCTATAATCCTCCAATACTTAGGACTTAAATCCAATACTTAGGATTTATGTAGCGGTAAGATTAAGAAGGGAATGCGTTCATTAAGGCTACTTTCTTATTGAGAAGTTATGACTGCAGTTTAAACTACAAAAGGCTTATTTAGCATTCCAAAACACTCATCTCTGTTTCACTGAATTAAGCTCTACTCAGACTGCCGCTTCAAGCTGAAGCTCCTGTGATGTTTCGCCTTCAATCCGAATGTCGGGGAGGCGTAATGGGGGGAAGAAGTGACCGCCCCCCCTCTCTGTGCCATTCGGAGGTAGTAACAGAGGCGTTACAGAGGAGAGAGAGCAGAGCCAGCGGTGGAGCGCAGTCCTGTGTGTGTGCATATCTGACTGTGTGTGTATGTAGATGCTGTCTGAAAAAGGGGCTTCACAGATGCACCTTTTTTGCACAGTGCTTGCACAAAGCAAGCACTGTGGTCGGCTGACAGCTTGTTTGTCGTGTTTGCTAATCACTTCCTCCCACTGTGTGCTGAAAGTTAAACGATAACTGACATCCTCCTGTGTCCTTTGAAGGGCTTTTGGCACTAAACCCCCCCTGGGCAAATAACAACACACTGCCGTTTTAACTCCCAACATCACTGACCTCTGGTAGAGGAAAGAGTTGAGCAGGGTGAACAGAAGCAGGGGCAGCTGGGACAGCAGGGTCATCCAGTTGTTGAAGTAGTACTCTTTACGGACCACCAACGTGCCGTTGCTCATCTCGGTCGTGTTCAGGCGACCTTGAAAATACTGGAAAGAGACAAGCAGACCCGAGAGAGAGAGATGTTGGGATTATCATTATCACCCCTCCACCCTTTGAAAGTAAAGAACATATTTGACATAACGTACAATCATATGAACATAGCATCAACCAGGAAGTGTCACAAAGTGGTGCAGGAAGAGAGGACAAAATTGCATATTTTTGTTTGGTATGGTGATCGCAAAGAATTTAATCTTGCAGGGTGGAAAATGGACTCTTTTTTCATGGTAAGGTTGTCAAGTGAGAGCCGCCTCCCCCCCTTTCATGAAGAAAACCTTTGTTTTTTTACTAATTAGATTAATAATTGATGTGGTTTCAATAACATAGGACAACATGGGTCTGTACACTTGCTATGCTCTTAAAGTTGTAAGCACACACTTCCTAAAAACATCATTTGAGCCCTCGTACCATTTTATAAACCCCCTTCAAAAATGCTCGTCAGAGTTTGATGCTAACATTAATTCTTCTCTGTTTTTATATGGTCTAAATCGTTCATAAAGTTGATGTGTTGCTGGAGTATTCTGACCTCTTCTAAGCCTTTCACTCTTCATGCATCTTGTCAGTTGGTGAAGTTTGTGCCAGAAAATTCTCTTCTCCTTCTGTTTTTATATCACTAGGTAGATGTTAAATATCTCAGACTGTGAGGTTTCAAAGCTTTTCGAGCAGCAGCCACAGAGCTCATGAGGCGATGCAGGTAACATGTATGTGAAACAACAAACCTTTCCCCCCTGACTCGTGGTGCACACGTTGTTTACACACACACGCACAGAGATTCACATGGATATCCAAAGTCATATGGTAGACCTGCGGGGGGGATTTAGAGGTTCATGTCGGGGTCGTGATCTTTGAAATCCCAACGGCCGAGCTACATACCATGGGTTTTTATAAATATACGCTTGAGTGGTATAAACAGCTTATTGTCTGTTGGACTTATGTCATCCATCCAGCATGTGATCCTCTAAGACGTTTAAGTAGAACCAGACTATGGAAGCCCTTAGGGGACATTTTATTTACTCTGTTTTCACATAATAACGAGACATTTCTCGTCTTATTCTTCCTTTATTCTCGTAATAATGACGCTGGTTTTCCTGTTATAACAGATACATTCATCTCGTTTTCTCAAGATTAAAAGGCTTCTTGATGTTCTCGTTATCTCAGAATAAAAACAAACCAACAGCCAAGTCTCTGTGATAGTCCAAACCGAGACATTGTCCACACTAATGAGACTGTTTCCATGTTTGTTTTGTGCTTCTGCAACTTTTATTAAGTTAGGATCTCCAGAAAACGACAGGAAAAAAAACTTAAAAACTGTCTATTGTGTTCAGTGAAGTCTACATGGTGCAGATTCTGTGAAGCTGTGTCGCTCTTTTAGTACCATCTGTTTTTCACTTTGTGGCGTTTGCATTTCTACTATCTGTACAGTAAAATCGTCCAGCTCTCAGCCTGCACTGAAAGTTGTGAAGTCCACTGGTCACTCCTTGACTTTAAGAGAGCTCCACAAGGTTTATTAACTGAACAATACACCACTGTTTGCTTTAAATGCGGAGCTGCCAGCCTGCCTCGCTACGTCTCCCAGCACAGCTTGCAAAACACAATGAATGGGGAGGAATTTTTAATCGTGTCAGGTTGCGTGCAGTTGATGATGTCAGTGGAAGCCCTCATGGAAATTAAGGCGTATGTGTCTTTGTTTTATACTGAAGAACTTATGCACCTGTATTTAGGATTCAGCCAAATTTAAGATGAACAAATAGGTATTAAAAGTGCGTCTTCTACACCGGATTTTACGGTAAGTCGTCCCTGCTGTCTCAAGGGGTTAAATTATTGCCTTGTGTTTACCAATGAGGCTGTCATGAAGAAGTTCCAGGGGAGCAGCGTTCCCAGGCCCAGGATGAAGAAAATGATCCCCACCATGCAGCCCCTGTGGAGGGTAAAAAAAAGGGTGTTTAGAAACAGGATTTAGTGAATAAAACAGGATGCTGCCAAGAAGTAATAAAGAGCACGCTTGTTATTAACACTGGTAGGATATAGTGTCTGCACTCAACCAGGACTGGTTATTCAGGATCACAACTTCAACAGGAAACGTTGAAAGGGACTTGGACCTTTATTGTTTTTATTTGAGAGACCATTTAGAAGTCATGCACAGCACGTTATTAGTTACTAACCAAAAAGAAACTGTGGTCGAGAGCAAAACTGAGGGAGGGACTTTGGTCGAGAGCAAAGAAAAGGAAGTGAAAGTTTTATTGTTTTGGACATTTTTTGACTCACCGGTCCTGCGGAGCATCCGTTCGTCCCTTCATCCTGTTGCGGGAAGATCGTTCAAAACTGAAAGGACAACACAAGGAGAGAGTTAAGGTCAGCAACATCTTCACATAACAGATGAAATAATTTGTCTAGATGTTATTATTAAGAGGGCATGAGAAGCTGGATCAAGTCTGTCTAAAGGAATGTCACAGTATAAACAGAGGACTTAGAAAAGTTTGGGAATAAAGGAAGTGAGAGGAGTTCTTCAATCCAGAACATCTGGTCTGTTATAGAAACCTGTAAACTTTCAATTTAACGTAAATCTCTTAAATCTGTAAAGATGAGTGAAAATAGCCCCTGGGTGTTGCAGTAGTTCATGTGTTATGTTTCTCCACGGGGTGGGGGGGTGGGGTGTCTGACATTTGACCTCTTGGAGACTAGTAGGGCGAGGCATACGAAAAACATAAGTCAGAGGAGAGGGATTTCTTTTGGCACTTTGAGAATTCAATCAAATATTCATGTATTGAGCCCAAATGTGGAGAATTAATCTGAACAACTTCAGTTCATAACAAAGTCAACTAAAAAGACCTTAATGTTAACATACTCTCAGCAGCATACATGGGAGTGTGAAACCCAGCACAGTTTCAGCAGATAGCTGTTCATCATGAGTCTGGTTCTGCTTCTTACAGGCATTTTGTTCTAGAGCCCGACCGATTAATCGACCAGCCGATAATATCGGCCGATATTAGCGTATCAAGTGTCTATCCTATCAGCTAATTTTATTGCAGATATGCACCAATTTTCCTAGATTTATTCACCAATAAAATAGCATTTCATTTGAGTTTGATTGTATTACAATAGCCCTTGTCTTTCACCAGCAGAGGGCGTATGGATTACAGCATCGTTACTCTCCAGAGTGTCAAGCGGATGATGTGCTCAGTTACTTTCCAGTTGAGTGACCGTCTTGTCTTCATTATATATATTTTCCCCAAGTGTCTGGTACCTGCATTTGATGAATCAATGCAAAAATGTGTTTATTTATAATCATCTCTAAAGATCGAGCAGAGATCTAAGAAAGATATGGGCCGTATCAGTATAGGTCCCAAAAAAATACCGTATCGGTCAGGCCCTAGTTTTTTCTCGCCACTGAAACTTTGCTAAATGTTGCTTAGCCCTGTGTTCATGATGGATTAACGTTGAGTCTTTGTAACTTAACAATGAGTCAGGTCTTTTACCTGCTCTTTAGGAAAGTGTCTTGAGGTAACATTTGTTGAGAATTGGCGCTATGATACAAATAAAGATTGATTGATGGATTAGCACAGGAACAGGACAGAACAGACCACTGGAATCTGTGTGCATTTCTTTTCTCCTGGAGTCAGCGCTACAAAAAAAGCCAAAGTATAAGAAAAAGCTAATTATAGCACGTTGTTATTGCACTGTGAGCCAGTCTGCTGCCTGTACGTTGAGTAGGTGAGGTCTCTGCCTCCCTTTAGTATTCTTCTAAGAGGCCCAAATACTCTTCTGTGAATCGGCACCCTGCGGTTGGGAAAAGAGAAATCTTTCGTCTATACATCAGTCTGGAATCTCAGAGTCTCCTCCCTATGTACACACAAACACTGATACACATTGTGTGTGAGAGAGAGAGAGAGAGAGAGAGAGAGAGAAAAACCAAACCCACAGAGTCTCCACCACCACCCTGCGGTTGGGAAAAGAGAAATCTTTCGTCTATACATCAGTCTGGAATCTCAGAGTCTCCTCCCTATGTACACACAAACACTGATACACATTGTGTGTGAGAGAGAGAGAGAGAGAGAGAGAGAGAGAGAGAAAAACCAAACCCACAGAGTCTCCACCACCACTGAGAAAGTCCTGCCCCACCCCACCCCACCCCACCCCACCCCACCCCACCCCGTCACAGCTGAGCTTCTGTTTAGATCCAGAAGCTAGACTAACATTTAACCTACTTTGTTGGGTCTACACAAGTCCCTTTAATAAAGCTTCATAAGCAAGCAACCAGTTGTGCAAAGTTCAGGCGGTCTACGTAGTTTGTTTTGCAGATTTGGAAGAGATGTGGCCTTTCTGACCAATCCTTATTTCCACTGACACCGCCATTTTTCACAACAAAAAAAAAAAAAAAAACACGCAGAAGATTTCGATCCCATATGTGAGTCAGAGCTTCCTCTACTTCCCTATAATGTGTAAAATGACACCTCCCTTTAGCTAGAACAAAAGGGTGGGAGGCTCCCATGCTTTTTTGGCATTCTGCTGAGATCCAAGGTTGTGAGGCGTATAAGTGTAGGAAACCTGACAAAACATCTGCATTAGCTAGTATTAGCCTGCTGTTTACCTTTAGAGCTGTAACCCAGAAGGAAAAACAGCTGCGTCACCACCCTTCAATCACACATATCACAGGGTTTGTGCTCAATCTAAGCCAGTGTAAAGAGAAGCCTGTTAAATCCAGAGCGAGACCTTGTGCTCCTTCATTGGACATGCCGTTTAAAGTAAATCAGCATGGTCAAAAGTCAAGAGAAAAGCAGCACTAATTTGACAGAGCGGGTAAATCATGGACAAAAGACAACATGATGGGGACATATGGTCATAAAAATGATTTGTTTCATTACACACGTTATTAAAAAAAGAACAACACACAGTGATGGAAGGGGATAAGATTAGGACGGTCTGTGTGCTCGGCAACACATGAATTATGAGGAAAAGGCCGCCTGCTACTTCAAAGCGCTTCTAATATCTAATAGTCTAATAGTATCACACTGTGTATCCTCTCTCTCATCCTAACAGGCCTTGAACAGCAAGCTAGCAACAACTGGTGTGGTTTCTGTGTTCAGTTCAGACATGCTGAAGTCCACATAGCAGCCCGGGGTCATCCGTGGTCATGTTTCGAAACAAACATAACTCTCACTCTCTCTCTCTCTCCGTTGGTCAGAAATCTTAAGGAACCCCACTTATAAGCTACTTAAAACATGACTGATGTGTGCATTGTTGTGGAAAACCGAGACATTTTTAACTTGCAGGAAAAATACCCACACACTTCAGAGTTTTGCAATAATGTGTTTTGTGATCTTGCCAATCCTGAAAAACACGTCCTGTGGTGCTAAGTTTTTGAAAGTTGCAGAGACTGTGATCAGATTCTACTGTCACTGTTGCATAAAAATATTCACTTTTAGAACCAGTTTTTTTTTTTTATGAAGACCATGGTGAGGTAGGATATGTTACTTTATTTTAAATTCTGCCACATGTACAGGATAAACAGAGAAATGTACGGCAATTTCCCTCGACCAATGCTGTGAAAAAGAACATTGCAGACACTATTTGGTCCATGCTTTCCACAATGTTCAAAGCGTTAATGCCGTTTGTTTTTTCTTATAAAGAAATGCATGATGGTATATAGAGTGTGATTACTAGGGCTGGGAATTTTTGGGTGTCTCACCAAAACTTTAGATTTTTGGGGTCACAATTCAATTTAGAATCTATTTTGGATTCAGAATAATTCTGATTCAAAGTCTATTTATGAATGAGTTCATACTTCAGGATCTACTCCAGTCATCTGTGAGACTGGCTGAATTTCTCGCTGCTCCATTTGGCCTTCTGCTGAGTTCTACTGAGTTCAATTTTTGGAAGTTATGAATCTATTTAAAATCTCAGAAGATAAGAATCTCTTTTCCCCACCTCTAGTGATTAGTGACCATTGGTTGTACTCTACCTTACTCCATGCATTGAAGCATGCTTGAAGTCTCATTATTTACGGTATGACCAACCTAACTAAACAGTTTAACAGCACTACAACAACATGGTTAATTCTCCACATCATACACTTTACAGTTAGCACTGCAGTGAGGATTCCCGGATTTAGACGAGGATAAAGAAAACGATTTGCTGCATGTTTTGTCTAAAAGTAAGATACGATGGATATGTGCAGAATACAGTAACGTTTATCTTTTAAAACATTTTACTGCTGCACATAAATGTCCTGTTTGTAAAGTAATCGTGTAAGTTTCCCTTACAGTCCTGCATAAGTTCTCACTAGGACTACAAAAGACTTCCAGATATGTTCTGTTGTCTTCTGGACACAGCTTGACAAAGATAATATTTATAGTAAAGAGAGCAGGGGGAGATTCCCCCCCTGCAGCATGTGAATGTAAAAACAGCCTTGTTGTGCATACTGCACACATTGTTCTGTAGAGAGAAGCTCAAACATCCAAGTGAAAGACAAACAAGTTTGTGTGGCTACTTGTTGTTCTTTTGACTTCTTCCTTTAACAGAAAAATACACAGGGTGGACAGGATAAGTGGCCTCATTGTTGTATTACAGAAATCTCCTTTACTCACTAAGACAGACTGTGAGAAAGAAGTCCTGAATGAACACTTCAGGCGACATTTACAAATGACTTCCCTCTTCAGGACTACAACAGAAGCTTTATCATGAAACAATCTCTCCTCCTAACCACAGACTGTAAATCTGACACTGCAGAATCAGATACAGCCACGAATACATTTAAAAAATAAAAAAGTCTGCGTCATCACATCGGAGAACAACACTGAGAGCATGACAGCTCCTTTGTGTCTTATTTTGAGTCATGTTAGTCAGATACAGCCAGTACATGAACTGTACCGTGCCGCGTGCCACGACCAAGGAAGTGATCGGAGCAACAAACTTTACGGGTGAAGCAATGCTTAGGCATGGTACGGATTGCCTAGTGTGAGTGAGCCCTAAGAAGGCATTAAGGGTTGAGGACGTGGAACAGCTGCAAAACACAAGGCTCAAAATGCACAGCACTGGTCCCAGTAACACCAAGACTGGATTAGTGTTTGTGTCTCTTTCTAAAAAAAAACCCTTGTTCGTTTCTAGACAGCTACCAAAGTTCAATCCTGCTCAAGCCACTTTAACTTAGATTTTCCACTTCCATAATGGCTTCTTATTGGAAGCACTGGAGTGTGTGAGTTACTTAAGTAATTACACACTCATGGATTTTGTTTCTCAGTAACAGAAATTAATCTCCTTAATCTTCGAAATCAATCGTTTTAAATCAGCCTCTTTGTGCTTGGAAGTGTCAACTGAGCGGACCTGGAACGTGGCCGCCTTTTTTTTTTTTATATTCCCGGGAACAGGGTGCAGTCGGACCACAGAAATAATTCCTGGTATGAACACTTTTAAAATCATACTTTATCACAAATTGAAGACACCAATAGCCATCTGTTGGAGCGCAAACCGCTCAGAATAACAATCTGAAATGGTTTAATTCCAGTATCAGACATAAAAAAACAAACATTGCAGCGTCAGAGTTGTGAAAGTCATGGAAAACTTCAGTGGATTTTCTGAAGTAGATTTGATTTATTAAGGTTAAAAGTGCGTGGACTTACACCAAATATGTCATTACAAATACACCAGACCATTTTAAAACCTTTGGACTTCAGTTAAGGGTTTTTCTGATGATTGCAGCAATATGTTCCCTGAAGTATCATTACCAAACATTTCCAGTTAAACCCTGAAAAAAAAACAGGTGACACATAACCCTCAGGGGGCTTCAGATTCACAGCTGAGACAAAGACGATGATTCATCCTTACAGTAAGAGATAACAACCACATGCTCATCAGACGGGAGAGACCATGTCGCTGGTTACACCAGAAGAACAGTCTTGTAAATGTTTGGAATTTAAATTTGATATAAGACAGGGTGTGAGTGCTTCTTTATACACACATTACATCGACATCTATTTCCTGATCATGTTCGACTCTTGGTTGGTATTTTTGGTGACTTTTTTCCTTGTCAGAATATTTGGTGTTCAGTTCCATCAGTAAAGCAAGAACAGTGGGGCGCTGGTGGTTAGTGTGCACACTTGTGAGCAGAGGCTGTAGTCCAAAAAGCGGTCGGCTCGGATTCAAATCTGACCTGCGGCTCATTTCCTGTATGTCCTTCCTCTCTCTCTCTCTCTCTCTCTCTCTCTCTCTCTCTCTCTCTCTCTCTCTCTCTCTCTCTCTCTCTCTCTCTCTCTCTCTCTCTCTCTCTCTCTCTCTCTCTCTCTCTCTCTCTCTCTCTCTCTCTCTCTCTCTCTCTCTCTCTCTCTCTCTCTCTGATTTCTGACTCTATCCAATAAAAATCCCCAAAATAGACCAGAAGAACCCAAGAAATGAGACAAATGTTTATCTTTGAATTGATTTTGTAAAGTTTTGGGCCAGTTTTTTGTTTTTTACTCGTAAATGTCAGTAAAGTATGAAGTATTTTGTTTTCTTGAAGGAAGTTGGGCAACATGTGGGACTATTTCTTAATACACTCATGAAAAGGCCGTCAAACATCTTATTATCTGAGTATTTCAGTGTCTCATTTATATTCTAAATACTTCCCTTTTTCATAAGCTTTAATTTGAGCCCAGTATGACCCTTTTAAACTAAATATTTCACTACACCTCCTATCAGAGAGTCCCCAGACTTCAGAATGAGGGTTGGCATGGTGCTGCACTAACAGGTTTATCACAAGTTCTGCTTCTGTAATAATAATAATAATAATAATAATAATAATAATAATAAGGATTACAAGGTGCTCTGACACTTGCAGAAGCAAACATAACAACAAAGCAAAGGAACCCAAGCAACAACAAAAAAAACATGACAACAACACGACCCACAGACCAACAACAACAAAACTCCGAAAATTACAACAAACCCAAACAAAAACCCGACCATCATGAGAACCAAAAAAATCCCCAGATGTCAAGCAACAGAATAACTCGTAACACGGATGAGACACCAAACCAACAAAACCACAACCAACATCAGAACCCGAACACCACAAGGATTCAAGCAACATAATGACTGTAACCATGGCAACAAGAGGCCAATTAAAAGATAAACAATCAGAATTAAGATAAATAAGAAGAGATATAAACAATAAAGAGTGGCTAGAAGCTATGAATCAAGATAAGAGAGACAAATAAATAATACAATAATAAAAAGGAAATATTCTAGTGAAACATGACATGTCAACATTACAGTGTTATACACTTTCTGTCTTTTGTGTTAATAAAATATAATATATTAAACTGCGTCAGGTTTAGTCGTAGAGTTAGATATTTAAGTTTCCGGCACTGTTACTGTCACAAACACAACACCCACTCAAACAAGACGTCAATGGATATGGATGGAAAAAAATGAAACACAGGAAAACACAGGAGTATTAATTAAGCAAGGGGCTCGTGTTGGGAGTTTGGACATACCTTACACCTGTTCTTATCTGTAAATAAACCGATTGACGCATTTTAAAGACACAAAATAAACCGTATTGTGAGAGTAGAGGAGGAAACCAGAGCCGTGTAGTCCTTCATCACCCAGTTTACAGGAAACACCTACACTTATTCATTTTAAAAGGAAATAATAACATGAAACACGATGAAGCCCCTCCATCTGCGAGCATCCCTTCACAGCTAGCTTAAAGTGACAGCAGGACTCACCTTGGGAGAGAAACACGTCGGTCACTGTATTTTCATCATGATCCAGTTAATTCAATTCAAGCACGTAGGTGGACTGCCCCCCCAAAAAATGGGAAAAAATTAAGTTAAGTGTGGATGTTGAAGTCAATTCGTCGTCCATAGGCCTACACGTGGCGGGAACATGCCTCACGATAGTTTACAAAGCAGCTTGGTGAGGTAAGCTCAACGGAGCACACAGAGCGAAACTGCACTTCCGCTGTCTGTCTAAAAGCCTAGATTGTAAGGCTGCAGCCTGGCTGCTCTCGTCTGTGTGCTCTCGTCTGTGTCTGTGTGCCTGAAGCCGAGCCCCTGACCTTCTAATTTTCAACATAAAGCTCCGGAAATAAAAATATATGTAGTGTACATGTGATATATTACAAACATACTAGGTGCTTATATATGATGGAGGATTAGAGTCATGTTAAAAAAATATTATTTTTTTTAAATTTCGAGATTAAACTCGTAAATTTACGACTTTAATCTCGAAATTAAAAAAAAAAAAAAATGTAACGTGGCCCTAGTCCTCCGTCGTACTTATACATTCAAGACTAAATAAAAAATAAGCAATTTCGCCATTCTATATGTATATGTGCTTTTTGAGTTATGTATAAACACACAGCTCAATCAGCAGCGTTGGTTCAGCTGTTGAAACAAACGTCGCTCTAACTCTCCTCTCTGCGTGACTCATTTCAACGTCTTTTCATTCATTCATTCATTCATTCATTCATTCATTCATTCATTCATTTGGGCTTCTTGTAAACCTCGGGCGTGTGACTCCATCTTCTTCACTCTTATCTTCTTTTGGCGCGGTGGTAATGTTTGAATTAATGGATTTTCTTGGCTTTTCTTTCTAGTTGAGTGTTTTATCCCAGCAGCAGTGTCTACTAGAACTTTTACTATTGTTTTGTGTTTTAATTACTTTAAATTTTTGCTTTTACGTGTCTTTATGATGTTTTGGATGTAAAGTATTTTGTCTAATTTACTGTACAGCACTTTGGTCCGCCTCGGCTGTTATAAATGTGCTGTATAAATAAAGTTGACTTGACTTGACTTAATCATAGACTGTAAATATTAATTAATGCGCGAGTTTGTAAACTGCTTCTTGACCCAGCGCACTTGCCGTTGTTCATTTCTGGAGGAGAGGGGTGCCAGAGCACATGAGACGAGAGCACACAGACGAGAGAGCGTCAGGATGCCCCGCCCTCTTTTTTTTCACGGGTTTTTTGTGACAGCAGGTGCCAAACATAGACTGTAAAAATAACCAAACCAGCCATGATGCCCAACATCCTCCCTCCCCTCCCCCAGTTTTTGGGTTCGTCTACTCCTCTACTCTGTAAAAAAACAAAACAAAAAAAGACAGGTGTTTGGTACTACAGAGTATTAGGGCCACGTCAAAGAAAAACAATCTAACATTGAGATTTAAGTCGTAGATTTACGAGAATAAAGTCGTGAAACGCAGAAAGGTTTACAGACCGATGCAGAGCTGGCTAAACACTGAAGCTTCAATGTCCACTACATGGCAACCTGCCTGAGCATCAACTGTAGGGAGGAGGGGGCGAGGGGAGACAGAGCTCCCCAATGTTTTAAACTTGGACTTTAGTTTGGTTTATTTATTTGTTTTAATCTGTTTTATTATTATAATAAAGTAAACTATTAAAACTGGTTCACAGAAGGTTCCTGTTCTGCAGCACATTACTTGACAGATGGACGGTCGGCCCCCCTTTTTTGTGGGGGTTCTTCTATATCTATATATCTTCCAGTTATTCCTGCAGTCTGATAGATTGTTTTTGTATCATTAACATTGTTCATCAACACTCATCTTATTTGATATATGCAGACCCTGAAGACATACCTTCAAATATTTCAGGTTGTTAAATTCTTGAATAATATTTTTCTGTTTCTGTTTTAACAAGTGTTGCTCTGTTTCAGATACTAACATATCTTATAACCTACAAAATGTTCTCTGAATGTTTAGACACCTTGTTTAATGTTCATTTCAGTATTTCAATATTATTCCTTGTTATAGCAGAGAGTGTTGCACAAAGTTATATATTCTTAAAGGGGGACAGATAACAAAAGCTAAAATACTGAAGCTATTTCTTAGTATGTTCTGTAAGGGACAATTACTTCCCCTGATATTGCTGCCACTGAATTTCTGGTGTAGCGCGCCCTCTGCTGATACAAAGTAGGAACTGCACTCTCACTGTCCAGCACTGAAAACTGTGCTGTGTAAATTAAACTAGGAGCCTGCTGTGTGTTTCAACACTGAGAAGCAAAACAATATATGCACTCGTGGGGAAAAATATGTGTCAAATAGAAATAATTTCTATTTACATGTGTGAGCATTTCAAAACAAAGGTTTGGTTTCTGATCAATTGTGGGTGCTATTCAACCAGGGTGCAAAATGATCCATTGCACCCTCAAAGATAATGACAACAGTGACTCAGATCCTAAAGATCTCAGATAAATCCATTATCTGAAGGTCATGACAGGTGCACGTGACCTGTCTGTTCACCGAGGACAACATGAGGGACCAATGACCCCCACGCTATATTTTTCACTGCTGTTGCCAGTCGCTGTAGCTGCACCTCCTTTAATCTCAAATGCACCCTAAGTCATTTTGTTATAGGACCGGACCTGTTATTTGTGTGTAAAACCAATATAATGTGGCTTCATATCAACTATTTAAAAGAGCAGAGTCTGAAAGTTACAGTCAAACAAACAGATCGATGATGCAGGATACTTGAAACTCTCCTGTCCTGCCAGGTCAAAATCACAGATTTGTCAATGGAGCCTGGTGGTGTTGCAGAGAGTGACGTAACAGCTGTTTTTGATAAGTAAAAAAAGAGAAGAGTTTCTTACCTTAACAAAAGGTCTGCCTCAGTAGGGATCCTTTCTGCGATGTTCTCAGACACTTCAGACAACAACCTGAACATGTTAGTGCGGGAAAAAAGCATTTTTAATGAACGCACTTTGAACGGCTGCATTTTCCCTCAAGGATTACTCCGCTAACATCAGCTGGTTCACAGTTCGGCTGAAGTAATCTACTGGAGCACCTCCAAAAACCCTTTGTTTTCTCCCTATTAGTCAAATCCAAAGTATGTTTAAAAGAAATACAGCTGTTTTTACAAGGGGTAAAAACACCTGAGAAACCTTTTAAGTATAAAAGACACAGTCATCATTAATGAATGTGAGTAATTACACCTGTGCAATACCTGCTGTGACATAATTACATTTTTACAAGCACTACACATACCGCTGTAGTATTTAATGTTCTCTGTGTCTCTGCATGAAGAGGATCAAGATAATAATATGACAGCAATAAATTCTGAAGCCAGTTTATTTGACCTGAACTGACTCTGTCCTCTCCAGTGCCTCACTTTAGCCCTGATGTTCCACAATAGATTTGGTAAATTAACTTGAGCTTGTAGCGCTTTTCTAGTCTTCTGAACTTTCGAACCTCAGACCTTTCCGGCTGAGAAACGACCGACTCTACCACTGAACCACAGCCGCCCGATAACACCAAAACAAGAACATTTATGGAAAATGCACATGAAACCACATAAGCCACATATCCGTGCTCCACAGAGGTCACACCGCAGGTCACACCTTACCTACACATTCACACCCTGATTCTTTTTCAGTGTTTTTTTTATTGAATTAGGACAGTGCTGCTTGTCTGTCTCTATATGTCAGCCCTGTGATTGACTGGCTGACAGAGTGTAACCCCGGTCTCTCGCCCAATGACAGCTGGGATCAGCTCCAGCCCCCCTGCGACCCCGAACGGGAAAATCGGTAAAAATGATGGATGGATGGAATTAGGAAAGTGCACATTAATCAACACATCAGTAAATAGCATCTTTCTAAATATGCCGGAACTAGCATAAAAACAAAATTTCGTCTGAAGTCCTGAAAATAAGTACAATTGGACAATTCACAGGACGGTCTACAAAAGAACTCACAGACAGTTTTATGAACAAATTGGACACACCTTTGTCACATAAGAAATAAAGGACTCACATGTAATTAGCTGATTAAAAGTGCAGGATGAACTGTGATGGGCCCCAGAAGGGGAGGACAGATATTATATATGAGTACATGACTGATTTGTTTTGAACTGATGTTTGAGTTTTATCTTGAAGGTTCTAGTTCTCACAATCCCTGACATGTGATGGTTGTTTCTGTAACGTGTGACTCTAATAGACGCCTCTTTGCGATCACAGTCTGCTATAGTTTGGGCTCTGGTGTTTATCCTGTTGGTTTGCCTTTTTTTTGGATACAGTAATTAAATGGGGGAGGAGGGGGGGAACCCATTTAAAAGTTTAAGAACAAGACAAATATCCATGAAAGTTTGGTAACTGTCCAAGTTGTAGAGGCTGCTATGGAATCTTATACACGTTCACACGCTGCCAATAAAGCAGCAGGTGCAACTTGGGGTTAAGTGTCTTGCCGACGGACACATCGGTCATGTAGCTGCAGGAGCTGGGGATCGAACACCTGACCTTCAGGTTGACAGGCGACTTACTCAACCACTGATCCACAGCCGAACAACATGATGTGTTTAAGCTTTAAACCTTGAAATAAGAAAAGTATGAATGAAATGTCCATAACAAAGAACTCTAGAATATTTTATAATAAGATGTTTATTTACAGAGACATAAAAACTGTGTGGGAAAAATTAAACTCAAACGACTTTCTGAAGCCATCAAATCAGCGTAAAGAGCATGCAACATGAGAAGAGTTTGTGCTTTCCAGGGATGGAAAGTTGTGAGTACAGTGGGAGGGAATATTGCAGTGGAATGTAATGATTTAGAAAGCTATAATTATACATTGTTAGACGTTATAATAAGCTTATGTGCAGTTGGTCTAAGTCCAATCCTTAGTATTCTGAAATATGGAGGTTGTACCTTACACAGGTGCAAAGTTAGTATCCAAATGGAAAAATATATGGCTGCCAAGAGATTTTAAGTTGAACCAGAGTTCATGTTTTAGTATTTAGTATTTATTTATTTGCACAGTAAGGGGAAAAACATATTAAAACAAATAACAAAATAGACAACACTCGGTGCAGGAAGAGGCAGAAAACTGGAAGAGTTTATTTGAAGCCTCCACCTAAATAATGCTAAAATATCACCAAATTAAAAAAAAACTAAAAACCAAAATAAATAATAAATGAATAAAGAACCATGAAGAAGCATGACATCAGCTTCCCCTGCTATGTCCGTCCCTCCATGCAAGACATTCATGAAATTACAACGACCACATCAACGAGCAAAGAGGAAAAACATGACGCACACACATGCTCTATGACTTGTTCCGCTCTGTAATGGCTGCTGGGATAAAGCTGCTCCAGCGCTTTGTTCAAAAATAGAAGACCAACGACAGCTGATTGAGTGTGTGTGTATTCATGCATTATATTTCAATTGGTTTGGTTTAAATGTTTATTTATGTACTTAATTTGAACACTAGGTTGTGATAATTGATAGTTTGGGTTACTTGGTCAGGTGGTATGGTTGAATGTTTATAGGTCAAGGGTGAACTCATCATATCATCATCCCAGGTTGTCTCTGCTTGATATGTCACAATAAACAGGAACTTCTCAAAGTCATTTCATTTTGGACATTTGTTTCCATACAGCTATGGCAGTGACTAAAAGCACGATTAGAAATGTGGACATTAGATAGTCACTGCAGGATCAGAAAAGTGTTTCATTCAAAAGCTTGCAGGAGAAGGAGAAGGAGCAGCCGGTGGGGCTCCAGGGCCGGTGGGTGAGGGGTGAAGGGTGAGGGTGTGTGAACCGTTAGGAGGGGACCAATGAGCTTTAAGGTCAGGGGACACCGAGCTGGATGACATAGTAGACCCCGTTTATTCCTGCCATTAAAATGTGTTTTCTGTGATGGGATTGCAATCGGATAGCGCTTGACCACAAACGTTTACCCCTGGTTTTAATAAACGTCTCTGGTGTCAACATTGAGATCTCATTGTGATCCAGTCACTCTCTTTCCCGCTCTTTTTCTTCTTCTACTTCTTCTTCTGTTCACTAATATCTGTCATCACAAACAGCAATATTTGTTTGTTTTTTACATCTGAATGTGAGGGGACTAAAAAGTCCTGCTGTCCCCCCTGAATACCGGCGCTGGAGGACAGATGTGAGTCACAGTGGCAGGCGGACAGTAAGACTAAACTTGAACTGGACTTGTGAGACCACAGCTGAGAGACCAGGAGGACGTGGAAGGAACAGAATAAGGCGAGCAGAATTGAAAAGTGTGTCTGTGAAATAGTGGCCGTGTTGTTTTCAACACTACATGTCACAAACAAGAAGGCCTCTAGTTGCAAAAGGCCACATCACTATTAAGTGTGACTGTAGGTGTGGTGGTTTGTGGTCGAGGTATACTTCCTGTTTTTCTCGATACTCACGCATTAAGTCCAGAGCAGAGTGCACAACCACTTCTGTGAACATGTTTTGAAAAAAAACCAGTTCCGGCTACAAGAGGAGGAGGAGGACTGGCTTTGATAGAGAACATTTTAAAAGTTTACAATCGTATCATTGTAAAGGAAAAACGGCAGCAGGAGCTTTTTTTCCCAGCTAACAGCAGGCTCAGAGTGGGAAGCTTAGACGACGTTCTTGTGTCATTCTGCAACAAGTTTCTGCAACTACCAAGAAAATGAACAGTTAAAATCAGAAATCAACTTTCATGATAAAAAACATATTTTAATACTCCATAAGCTTCTGTTAAAGAACAGCTCATAGAGCGTCCGATACCCAAAGGCTGACATTTCAAATCTATTCTGTGAGCTTTATTGGCATGAATGTGAAATATCAGGAGTTTTTCAGGAGTTTTTTGAAAGTGTGAAAGCCCTCTACAGTATAAAGCTTTTTCCCTGATCGGAGTCGCAGGGGGCTGGAGTCGATCCCAGCTGTCATTGGGCGAGAGGCGGGGTTACACCTTGGATTGTTCGCTAGCCAATCACAGGGCATATAGAAACGGACAACCAGCCACACTCACATTCACACCTACAGGCCAATTTAGAGTCACCAGTTAACCTAAGGAGCATGTCTTTGGACTGTGGGAGGAAGCCGGAGAGAACCCATGTATTCACGGGGAGAACATGCAAACTCCACACAGAGAGGCTCCTGTCAGACGGGGATTCAAACCAGGAACCCTCTAGCTGTGAGGCGACAGCGCTAACCACTGCAGCACACTCCAAAATAATACAAAACACAAAGAAATTACAGAAAACAAATGCAATTTACTGTTTTATAGTGTGTGTATGTGTGTGAAAACACACTTAACTTGATAACCTTCAGTCACCGTCAATCATAAAGCTGCTAACGGTGGCATTCAACCACTCAGACCTCAGAACTGGACTGATGTGATCCACTTTCTTGGTCTCTAGGACTCTAGCAGCAGCGGTCTGACTGATGTTTTAGGCAGACCTGTGAAGACGCTGTAACAGTAATCAAGACGACTGAAGATAAAAGCATGGACAAGTTGATCCAGGTCCTGCTGGGACATAAAGTCTTCAGGTGATAGCAGGCTGACGTTAGCATTAAACCACTTCTTTACTGCTCATCTCGAGGTGAAGGAACCGGTCATGTGACTTTCATCAAAAGTCAAAATCAGACTCTGATAACTTGCTTGTCTGTGATGCACGCCTGCAGCGAGGGGCCTGGTATTACAAAGACCCGTTTCCTTATTCAGAAGTGTGAAACATGAAGCCTCTCCTGAACTCTCTCTTACTTTTGTGTCTATGCGCCTGTTCAACTCGGGGTAAGTAGAAAACTTCTTAATGTGAAATTACGAGCTCCTTATGAAGTATTTTATCACAGTATTGTTTTTTTTTGTTATTTATTTTATTAAGTTATTAAAAAGGTTATGTTTAAAGGAATCGAAAACAGACAGATAGTGGAGTTAACATCTTAAATAAATATTCAAGTGTTGAGAAGTATATATATGTAGAACAATAATAACTTTATATAGATATAGAACCGGATGTAGATGGTTACAAAGGAACTCAGGATTATAACCTGACGAGCATCGACAGTCAGAGCGAACGGAGAGAAGTCGACATTCAAACGAAAGGAAATGAATTACAAAACGCATAAGCAGAAGATCAACAAGCAAAAAGATATGTATATTTATATACTGGATTTGTTTTAACCTAGCTCAAAGGCCAGGGAGAAAAAGGTGGGTTTTGAGTTGCATTTCCTTAAATAAAAAAAATGAAGCACAAAATAAATTTGAGTAAACGTGTCTGATGCCCAGCCGAAAGATGCATGAGTTCTGGTTACGCATAAAAATTAACTTTGGCGGGTAAAATTGTAGAGTTTCTAGCCATTTTGGCTGGTGATGAATGAGGCAAATATGCATCTGTTTGAATCAGCAGGCTGCAGAAATGATGTGATAAGTCAGTGTTGCCAGATTGGGCAAATTTGGCTGGTAGAAAATCTGGTTGGCTGGTAACTTTAAAAATCTACTAGCCCTTTTGGCTGGTGATCAAAAAAGTAAATTTAAAGCCCCGCATGCAAGGAATATGATAACACAGAAATAGACGTAAACTTAAAACACAATGAACTAAAACGTCACTCCTTTGCCTGTGTCTCTTTGTAGGTGTTTCATCGGGCACACCTGTTGTGACACAGAGCCCAGATGTTTCTGTAATGGAGGGGGAGACTCTGAACATCACCTGCTGCTGGACAGGGGAGCTTGAAAGAGGGAGAGTTAACTGGCTGAAAGATAAAACATGTTTAAATAATGAGCTTTTTTTCAATAATGGAAAACAAAACAGATCCGTCTGCTTCCACTTGACCTTTCTGCATATCACCAGAAAAGATTCAGGAAGCTACACCTGCAATTTGACAGTGGAGATACCAGTTGTCTTTAGGGCTGAAGGAAAGAGTACTGTGATCACAGTTACAGACAGAGAGGACACATTTGAGGATGCAGCAAAAGGTAAGTGGAAAAACATCATTATTGTAATAGTTTTGCAATAGACGTTTGAATCCTGATTTCCTTTTTGTGTTTAATTTTTTCTCAGAGGACGAGCCTGAAGGTCTTACCAATGGTAGGTTATTATCCCGCATCGATCAAACACACATTGTTTACAGCAGTAAACGTGGACTATATGAACCATGGATGTAGTCTCAGTGATGTCACACATTGGAGTTATGAAGCCTAACAAATGCGTTCCCATCTTGGAAATGCTCTCCCCACCTAGCTTTTGAAATCATCAAGGTAACAGGTACAGATTTGGAGCTGAGAGTGGGTTGAAGCTCTGAGACAAACGGGGTGGAGTGGGATCGGTATAAGTAGGCTTGTCAGGTGATTAAAGGCGTGGGACCTGTTTTTGAAGCGCTGTTGTGTAAACGAACAGCCGAAAGGTTGGCCTTTTTGGATGAAATGGTTGTGGTGTAAACAGGGATCTTAATCTCTGCTGTCGTCTCTGTTGTTTGAGTTTCAGGTATGTTGGTCTGGGTCCATGTCCTGAGGTGTCTGCCTCTCCTGGCTCTCATCGTTACCTTCTTCTGCATCAACAGGTGGGCGACCAAAGCTCAGCAACCCACATCAGGTACTACAACTTTCACCTTACTTTATTACTACAATGTGACAGCTAGATGGTGCAATACTCTCTGATAACACCTTGTCTTTATGTTTCAGATCCTGGAAAAACACGCTCCACAGCCCAAAGAGTAGAAGAAGAAGAAGAAGAAGAAGTTGAAGGAGAAGAAGGAGAAGGAGAAGCAGAAGAAGAAGAAGAAGAAGAGAAGAGGAAGAAATACGAGCAGAATATGACGATGTAGAATAAATAACAAGCAAAATTAAAATTGATTTAAACAAAGCTATGAAAGACAAAATAATTAAATTGTTTTAATCACTTTATTTCTAAAGAACCTGCAAATTGCTAAACAAAACTTTATTTGATGCTGATGTCTCCTCAGACAGTTTGATGTTTTTCAATGTATGATGCACAAATATATTGTTGGTGATGTATTGGATCGTTCGACCACTTTTTCTTATCAAACAGTAATTTTATGATACCTCTCTGAAAAGTGCAGGGGGGGCAAGATACGGAAAAATTGTTGTTGTTTTTTTGTAATTTGATGCCATCATCAGGAAGAGTAGGGAAGAAGGCGAAACTGCAGCAGTAAGTTATGTCATCAAGACAAACACCATGTATAATGCAAATGTCACAGTGATGGAGAAAGTGATGCAGGAAGTGAGAATGTGCATGGGTTGCAAGAGAGTCAGAGGGGGAGTGATGAAAGCATTCATGAGAGGTATATATAATTTAAATATACATAGTTTCAACATTTGATATGTCATCTTTGTGCTATTTCTAATAAATGATGGGGTTTCAGTGTTTGGAAAATCATCACTCTCTGTTTTTATTTTTATTGTACACAACGTCCGAGCTTTTTCAGGTGATGCTTTCCCTGAGGTCTGGCCCAAGCGGCAACCTCCAGTGTTGAAAAATGAAGCTGATGCAGAGGTGTAAATCCTGCAGTTTGTGGAGTGTCCACTAGAGGCTGGCTGCAGAAGCACAGGAAGTTACATACACACCCATTCCAAAAGCCTGTTTTTACAGTAGATATGAACATGTTTACATCCTGGTACAAAAACTAAATAGGTCTGATTAGTTATTGTCCTCACTTGCACACACTGTACAGGGGGTTAATTTTTTTAAATGTCTCCATTCTTATTTTATAAATGATACGTGTTATCCACAGAGACATAAGGCCGTCCTGATTGACAGGTGGACGCAATGTAATGGTTCACCAAGAGGCTTAAAACCGACCTCAGCTCCAGCTCTCAGCCTGTCGTGAGGTTGACTGAAAGTTAGAGTGAGACAGGATTTCCAACATGACGGCTGCTGCTGATGAGCCTCCAGAGTCCCCTGCAGGAACAGGTGGCTGACGTCACTCAGGCCAGTCATATTTACAGTATCTAAGGTCTGGCCAGAGAGCACGTTGCTTGTGATTTCTGTGTGACCTGATTGGTTACAGCTGTCTTCACAGAGCTCAGGTGATTGCCAGTTGAATGTGCTGTTTCAGTGGTAGTGTTTTGCAATTCACACACGCAGGCTTAGGTCAGGTTTGAAAGATGTGTCTGAATGTAGAGAAGTGTGTTTTGGTGTTTTGCAAAAGGTTTGAGGCAAATCTATAGTTGTGCAAACTTCCTTGTGTGTTGACTTTCAATAACTGTTGTTTTTCTGTAAAACTGTACTACCACGAATATACACCAAAATCATAAAATAATATCATCAGAATGATGTCGACATCAGCACAGTCACGCATGTCAGTGTTAGAAATATTCACCTGATGGGGTTGTCGTTGTGTTGTTCAGGTATACCGGAGAAGACTAGATCGTCTCTAGTCGAGGATTGATTCTTTCATTTGTTTATTTTCTTTGGTGACTGATTCCAGCTGTGTTGTGAGTGAGGTGACAGAGTGTTGGAGGGATTTGTTATCTTTGGTGAGTGTGGTGAGTTTGTTGTGGTGCGCCTGTGTGAATTCAAGGCTGTCGCGGATGTGTTGGAATTCTTTGTGCAGAACTTCAACAATAGCGATTCTTGCGTCAAGACCAGACAGACTGTTATTGATTGACATTAGGATCTCACTGACCTCAATGCAGCAGTGTTTTTCGGGAGAGTTGAGAAAGGAGTCAGATATATCTAAAATCTACAAAATAATCCTGAAATCTGACCAAACAGTATCCGTACCCTTCACAAAATGGGAAACTGACCTCCAGATAGCCCCCAATGCCGACTTCTGGACCCAAATCTGCAGAAACATATTCTCCATATCAAACAATACAAACCTACAACTCATACAATACAAGATTATTCACAGAGTTCACTACACGGGTGAGAGGATGTTTAAAATGGGCTTCACTGATTCTAAATTATGCTCACACTGCACACAAAACGCCACAGACGGATACCTGCACGCCACATGGGACTGTACACCAATAAAACAATTCTGGCATGACATCACTGACCACCTCTTTGTACTCTTGAGCTGCCACATCCCATGTTCACCCACACTCTGCCTACTAGGAGACTCAAATATCACATCCAGCAAAATACTCCTCATAGCCTTAACCATCGCCAAGAAAACTGTCCTCATGAACTGGAAGTCGAGAAAAAAATCAACATTGCACATTGGAAAAACTTACTCACCGAATATATATCAATGGAAAAACTAACTGCCTCACTCAGAAATCAAACTGCCAAATTTGAATCTGTCTGGAACCCAATAATCAACAACCTCAACTCATAACTACCCCCACAACATCCCACCCATCAACTCTTTCTGCCTGTGCACACACCCAACACACACACACACACACACACACACACACACACACACACACACACACACACACACACACACACACACACACACACACAATTTACAAGTGACTGCATTTTCATACACTTTTATTTTTTCCACCTGGCCCCCATGCTCTCTTATCCGATTCTCCCTTTTCTCTTTACCTTTCTTAGCCGTTCACCTTACTTTACATAAAACCAACCCTCTGAAATATAATTTTACATTTTCCCCAATTAGTATTATTATAATCATTATTATTACGTTGCTGAATTTTGTCCTTGTTTTTTAAATTTTTTTATTATTATCTATTTGTTTTTTATTTTATTTTACTTTTATTTTTATTTGTGTGACTTCCGTGGATAATACATCAATAGTCTCTCTCAACACTTCTGCCTTATTTCATTTAACACCCTGTTATATTTTATCTTTCTTGAACTGCGACATACTATTATTATTTTATTTAATTTCATTATAATCATTATTAGATACAAAACATAGAATTTTTATTTTCTTGTCATTTACATCATTAGTTATTGATTGATTTTTTGCTCTTTTTGTTTGTTTTATTTATTAATTTATTTTGATTTACAATGTTATTCCCTTTATTCCTTTCGATATACATCAGGCATCATATCATCTGTTCAAAATTCAAAATACCATCATGCTAACTTTTTCTTTTTTTTCTTTATTTGATTGTTTTTTCTTTTTTCTTTCTTTTTTTCTTTTATTTAATTTTTTGATTATTGTTTTTCCCTTCTTCCAAAGTTTGTTACTTCCAATCCATCATAAGACATATCATCATAATTAGTATTACATATTTATTATTATTATCCCTGTTTCCCCTTTTTTTTTTTTTTTTTTATATATATATACTGCTCTTTCCTCACACACACACACACACACACACACACACACACACACACACACACACACACACACACACACACATGCACTCTGTCATACCACCCAAACAAATCACCACAGAGCTGTTTTTGTTGGGGAGGATGCTCAAGAGGGAGAAGCATGACAATAACAATACGGGGGGGGGGCTCCCTCCTCTGGGTCTGGTGGTCCCTCCCTCTCAAGTGTGTGCTCTTTAAAACAGCAATATCACAGCTACTGCATTTGGGGGGGGGCTTCCCTCTGCTGGGTCTGGTGGCCTCTCCCTCTCATGTGTGCTCGCTGAACAGGCCGGGTCCTGCAAGCGAGTCCCTTCCTGAGAGTCTGGGGGCTGCTGCTGCAGGAGCCGGCCAAAGAAAAGAAAAGAAAAGAAAAATAATAGCTTTGCCTCTCCCTCCATCCTCCCCTCCAATCAAATAACGCTCAAACCAACCCCAAAACCCCGGCTGCAGTCAACTTCTGCTAAAACATAATCATTACACAAACTCTCACCTCTCACACCACAACATTGTTTAACATCAACATATTCACTTCCACCTCTCAAGTCCCCTTTACTAAGCACCTTCTCTCCCTCCCCTTCTCTCTCTATCGCTTCTTTCACTTTTTGTATCCTTTCTTAGGTATTTCATATAGTTTTGTAGTTTTTCTGTTTGTAGTATGATGTGTGTCTATTGATGTCTTATTTTGCTGTCTTTATTTGTTTTATTTATTTTTATTTTTCACTGTATTTGGGAGTCGTTGTCCTGACCTTGTCTGTTTGTTTTTTTTGTGCCTCATTTGTATATCATCAGTTTATTGCACCTAATAAAAAAAAAAAAAAGAAATAATCATCTGATTATCTGATCAAAGACAACTGTTATCCAGGTGGGGAGAAAAGCAGATTCTGCACTGTGGGAGAGTTGAAGATTTAAGCATGAGAATTTTCAACGACAGAAACCTAAAGCTGCTCTGCAGGAGGAAGGAACACATAATGTGGTTTTCACACCATACTGCAGAATATGAAGAGGAACATAAAAGATGATGCCCACTGTGCTTGCGAGTTCCTGTGCGTGCTGTGGGAAGGACTTAGAGCCCTTTACAGACGAGTGTCAGCAATCTTTGAATCAGTGAAATGATGAAGAAGTGAGTAAACGAACGACATGATGTCACATCTGTTATATTGATCGGTTTATGTTTAAATACTGATTTCATACTAATGTAAACTTTTGAAATGCCTGATAGTTTGCATCCACATGTTTGAATAGTTTCAGTCTTTGGTCTGAAAAATGTATTTTGTACGGGAGCTTAAAGCGGTAATGGCAACAATTTAAAAAAGAAGTACCTGGGATAACAAGGAAGAGGTATATTTTTGGGGCTTTTCATGCCTTTATTTAGAGATAGGACAGTAGATCACACATGGGAAAGGAGCCATGGGTCAGATTCAAACACGGGTGGCACGCTTTGAGTGCTACAGCCTCTGTACATGGGACACGTGCACTAATCATCAAAGCAAACGGTCACAAAATAGAAAATAGTACGGAAGACGAAAAGTGCCACGCTTGAAATATTTTAGCCGTGTAATTTTATGGTTTACAAATACTATGTGTGAGTTTGAAATGTAAAAAAATAAGTATTTACTAAAGAGCTCTGAACACTGAAATGAACGAAGTATAAATCTAATCTAGAAGAAATGATGACACATTCTTACTGCATGGTTATTTTTACATTTGGAATATCTAGATTTTAACCAAATTTCCTCAACGGTTCCCGTCTTTCGTACGGACACAAACGTCAAAAAGATCATAATTTTACCAAAACTGGAAATGCTGTTTTTCAAACGTCTTAGAAAGTTCATTTGATGCCTCGGAAAATGTCATCATGTTAGCATATTCATGGAGTATTTTCTAAAATGCTCAAATTATCATGTAAAGTCGTATAAGTACTTTAGATATTTTATTTTGTATTCTTAAACAATCTGTATTTTACGGAGCCCCTGAAGTCCCAAAAAGTAAACAAATAAATATCTTGTGCGCACTAGGTGCGCCGTAGTATTTTCTTTCATGAATATTTGGTAATTTAACCTTAAAATTACCTTGGGATTTCAGGTAAATTTGCCCATTGTCTTCTTAAGATAACCTTGTCCACCAAAACAAACAAAGGACCGGCTGACTTGTGATTTCCAGATGACAAAATAATTGTAAAAAGTCTGTTCTGACCTGTACAGATTAATTTGCAAGTCAAGCCATTCTTTCAATACTGTTTGCGTAGCTTTACCACTTTGTTTGGTTGTTAAATTGTGCATTATTGGATGGTTTTGATGTTTTTTCATGTGCTTTGTGTGTGGTGGTGAGCAGCTGTATTACTGTATGTTTCATTCTGTCTCTTTGTAGGTGTTTCATCGGGCACACCTGTTGTGACACAGAGCCCAGATGTTTCTGTAATGGAGGGGGAGACTCTGAACATCACCTGATGCTGGACAGGGGAGCTTGAAAGAGGGACAGTTAGCTGGCTGAAAGATAAAACATGTACAAAAATGAGCTTGTTATGAATAAGGATCATTTCCAAGGATCTGGAAAACAAAACAGATCCGTCTGCTTCCACTGGACCTTTCTGAATATCACCAGAAAAGATTCAGGAAGCTACACCTGCAATTTGGAAGTGGAGATACCAGTTGTCTTTAGGGTTGAAGGAAACAGTACTGTGATCACAGTTACAGACAGAGAGGACACATTTGAGGATGCAGCAAAAGGTAAGTGGAAAAACATCATTATTGTAATAGTTTTGCAATAGACGTTTGAATCCTGATTTCCTTTTTGTGTTTAATTTTTTCTCAGAGGACGAGCCTGAAGGTCTTACCAATGGTAGGTTATTATCCCGCATCGATCAAACACACATTGTTTACAGCAGTAAACGTGTACTATATGAACCATGGATGTAGTCTCAGTGATGTCACACATTGGAGTTATGAAGCCTAACAAATGCGTTCCCATCTTGGAAATGCTCTCCCCACCTAGCTTTTGAAATCATCGAGGTAACAGGTACAGATTTGGAGCTGAGAGTGGGTTGAAGCTCTGAGACAAACGGGGAGGAGTGGGATCGGTATAAGTAGGCTTGTCAGGTGATTAAAGGCGTTGAGTTTCAGGTATGTTGGTCTGGGTCCATGTCCTGAGGTGTCTGCCTCTCCTGGCTCTCATTGTTACCTTCTTCTGCATTAACAGGTGGGCGACCAAAGCTCAGCAACCCACATCAGGTACTACAACTTTCACCTTACTTTATTACTACAATGTGACAGCTAGATGGTGCAATACTCTCTGATAACACCTTGTCTTTATGTTTCAGATCCTGGAAAAACACGCTCCACAGCCCAAAGAGTAGAAGAAGAAGAAGAAGAAGAAGAAGTTGAAGGAGAAGAAGGAGAAGGAGAAGCAGAAGAAGAAGAAGAAGAAGAGAAGAGGAAGAAATACGAGCAGAATATAACGATGTAGAATAAATAACAAGCAAAATTAAAATTGATTTAAACAAAGCTATGAAAGACAAAATAATTAAATTGTTTTAATCACTTTATTTCTAAAGAACCTGCAAATTGCTTAAAAAAAAACTTTATTTGATGCTGATGTCTCCTCAGACAGTTTGATGTTTTTCAATGTATGATGCACAAATATATTGTTGGTGATGTATTGGATCGTTCGACCACTTTTTCTTATCAAACAGTAATTTTATGATACCTCTCTGAAAAGTGCAGGGGGGGCAAGATACGGAAAAATTGTTGTTGTTTTTTTGTAATTTGATGCCATCATCAAGAAGAGTAGGGAAGAAGGCGAAACTGCAGCAATAAGTTATGTCGTCAAGACAAACACCATGTATAATGCAAATGTCACAGTGATGGAGAAAGTGATGCAGGAAGTGAGAATGTGCATGGGTTGCAAGAGAGTCAGAGGGGGAGTGATGAAAGCATTCATGAGAGGTATATATAATTTAAATATACATAGTTTCAACATTTGATATGTCATCTTTGTGCTATTTCTAATAAATGATGGGGTTTCAGTGTTTGGAAAATCATCACTCTCTGTTTTTATTTTTATTGTACACAACGTCCGAGCTTTTTCAGGTGATGCTTTCCCTGAGGTCTGGCCCAAGCGGCAACCTCCAGTGTTGAAAAATGAAGCTGATGCAGAGGTGTAAAATCCTGCAGTTCGTGGAGTGTCCACTAGAGGCTGGCTGCAGAAGCACAGGAAGTTACATACACACCCATTCCAAAAGCCTGTTTTTACAGTAGATATGAACATGTTTACATCCTGGTACAAAAACTAAATAGGTCTGATTAGTTATTGTCCTCACTTGCACACACTGTACAGGGGGTTAATTTTTTTAAAATGTCTCCATTCTTATTTTATAAATGATACGTGTTATCCACAGGGGCATAAGGCCGTCCTGATTGACAGGTGGACGCAATGTAATGGTTCACCAAGAGGCTTAAAACCGACCTCAGCTCCAGCTCTCAGCCTGTCGTGAGGTTGACTGAAAGTTAGAGTGAGACAGGATTTCCAACATGACGGCTGCTGCTGATGAGCCTCCAGAGTCCCCTGCAGGAACAGGTGGCTGACGTCACTCAGGCCAGTCATATTTACAGTATCCAAGGTCTGGCCAGAGAGCACGTTGCTTGTGATTTCTGTGTGACCTGATTGGTTACAGCTGTCTTCACAGAGCTCAGGTGATTGCCAGTTGAATGTGCTGTTTCAGTGGTAGTGTTTTGCAATTCACACACGCAGGCTTAGGTCAGGTTTGAAAGATGTGTCTGAATGTAGAGAAGTGTGTTTTGGTGTTTTGCAAAAGGTTTGAGGCAAATCTATAGTTGTGCAAACTTCCTTGTGTGTTGACTTTCAATAACTGTTGTTTTTCTGTAAAACTGTACTACCACGAATATACACCAAAATCATAAAATAATATCATCAGAATGATGTCGACATCAGCACAGTCACGCATGTCAGTGTTAGAAATATTCACCTGATGGGGTTGTCGTTGTGTTGTTCAGGTATACCGGAGAAGACTAGATCGTCTCTAGTCGAGGATTGATTCTTTCATTTGTTTATTTTCTTTGGTGACTGATTCCAGCTGTGTTGTGAGTGAGGTGACAGAGTGTTGGAGGGATTTGTTATCTTTGGTGAGTGTGGTGAGTTGCGCCTGTGTGAATTCGAGGCTGTCGCGGATGTGTTGGAATTCTTTGTGCAGAACTTCAACAAGAGCGATTCTTGCGTCAAGACCAGACAGACTGTTATTGATTGACATTAGGATCTCACTGACCTCAATGCAGCAGTGTTTTTCGGGAGAGTTGAGAAAGGAGTCAGATATATCTAAAATCTACAAAATAATCCTGAAATCTGACCAAACAGTATCCGTACCCTTCACAAAATGGGAAACTGACCTCCAGATAGACCCCAATGCCGACTTCTGGACCCAAATCTGCAGAAACATATTCTCCATATCAAACAATACAAACCTACAACTCATACAATACAAGATTATTCACAGAGTTCACTACACGGGTGAGAGGATGTTTAAAATGGGCTTCACTGATTCTAAATTATGCTCACACTGCACACAAAACGCCACAGACGGATACCTGCACGCCACATGGGACTGTACACCAATAAAACAATTCTGGCATGACATCACTGACCACCTCTTTGTACTCTTGAGCTGCCACATCCCATGTTCACCCACACTCTGCCTACTAGGAGACTCAAATATCACATCCAGCAAAATACTTCTCATAGCCTTAACCATCGCCAAGAAAACTGTCCTCATGAACTGGAAGTCGAGAAAAAAAATCAACATTGCACATTGGAAAAACTTACTCACCGAATATATATCAATGGAAAAACTAACTGCCTCACTCAGAAATCAAACTGCCAAATTTGAATCTGTCTGGAACCCAATAATCAACAACCTCAACTCATAACTTCTTCTCCCTTTTCTCTTTACCTTTCTTAGCCATTCACCTTACTTTACATAAAACCAACCCTCTGAAATATAATTTTACATTTTCCCCAATTAGTATTATTATAATCATTATTATTACGTTGCTGAATTTTGTCCTTGTTTTTTTAAATGTTTTATTATTATCTATTTGTTTTTTATTTTATTTGACTTTTATTTTTATTTGTGTGACTTCCGTGGATAATACATCAATAGTCTCTCTCAACACTTCTGCCTTATTTCATTTAACACCCTGTTATATTTTATCTTTCTTGAACTGCGACATACTATTATTATTTTACTTAATTTCATTATAATCATTATTAGATACAAAACATAGAATTTTTATTTTCTTGTCATTTACATCATTAGTTATTGATTGATCTTTTGCTCTTTTTGTTTGTTTTATTTATTAATTTATTTTGATTTACAATGTTATTCCCTTTATTCCTTTCGATATACATCAGGCATCATATCATCTGTTCAAATTCAAAACACCATCATGCTAACTTTTTATGTTTTTTTCTTTATTTGATTGTTTTTTCTTTTTTTCTTTCTTTTTTTCTTTTATTTAATTTTTTGATGATTGTTTTTCCCTTCTTCCAAAGTTTGTTACTTCCAATCCATCATAAGACATATCATCATAATTAGTATTACATATTTATTATTATTATCCCTGTTTCCCCTTTTTTTTTTCTTCTTTTTTTATATATATATACTGCTCTTTCCTCTCACACACACACACACACACACACACACACACACACACACACACACACACATACACTCTGTCATACCACCCAAACAAATCACCACAGAGCTGTTTTTGTTGGGGAGGATGCTCAAGAGGGAGAAGCATGACAATAACAATAAGGGGGGGGGCTCCCTCCTCTGGGTCTGGTGGTCCCTCCCTCTCAAGTGTGTGCTCTTTAAAACAGCAATATCACAGCTCGCTGAACAGGCCGGGTCCTGCAAGCGAGTCCCTTCCTGAGAGTCTGGGGGCTGCTGCTGCAGGAGCCGGCCAAAGAAAAGAAAAGAAAAGAAAAATAATAGCTTTGCCTCTCCCTCCATCCTCCCCTCCAATCAAATAACGCTCAAACCAACCCCAAAACCCCGGCTGCAGTCAACTTCTGCTAAAACATAATTATTACACAAACTCTCACCTCTCACACCACAACATTGTTTAACATCAACATATTCACTTCCACCTCTCAAGTCCCCTTTACTAAGCACCTTCTCTCCCTCCCCTTCTCTCTCTATCGCTTCTTTCACTTTTTGTATCCTTTCTTAGGTATTTCATATAGTTTTGTAGTTTTTCTGTTTGTAGTATGATGTGTGTCTATTGATGTCTTATTTTGCTGTCTTTATTTGTTTTATTTATTTTTATTTTTCACTGTATTTGGGAGTCGTTGTCCTGACCTTGTCTGTTTGTTTTTTTGTGTGCCTCATTTGTATATCATCAGTTTATTGCACCTAATAATAATTAAAAAAAAGAAATAATCATCTGATTATCTGATCAAAGACAACTGTTATCCAGGTGGGGAGAAAAGCAGATTCTGCACTGTGGGAGAGTTGAAGATTTAAGCATGAGAATTTTCAACGACAGAAACCTAAAGCTGCTCTGCAGGAGGAAGGAACACATGATGTGGTTTTCACACCATTCTGCAGAATATGAAGAGGAACATAAAAGATGATGCCCACTGTGCTTGCGAGTTCCTGTGCGTGCTGTGGGAAGGACTTAGAGCCCCTTTACAGACGAGTGTCAGCAATCTTTGAATCAGTGAAATGATGAAGTTCTTCCTCAGCGGTCTGCTGCTCGCCTCTTTCTGTGCCCTCTCGTCTTGGAGTGAGTAAACGAACGACATGATGTCACATCTGTTATATTGATCAGTTTATGTTTAAATACTGATTTCATACTAATGTAAACTTTTGAAATGCCTAATAGTTTGCATCCACATGTTTGAATAGTTTCAGTCTTTGGTCTGAAAAATGTATTTTGTACGGGAGCTTAAAGCGGTAATGGCAACAATTTAAAAAAGAAGTACCTGGGATAACAAGGAAGTTATTTTTATATCACGATATTAAACATCATGTATAATCACATACGAGTCTCAGCTCACCTGCTTTTGGAGGTATATTTTTGGGGCTTTTCATGCCTTTATTTAGAGATAGGACAGTAGATCACACATGGGAAAGGAGCCATGGGTCAGATTCAAACACGGGTGGCACGCTTTGAGTGCTACAGCCTCTGTACATGGGACACGTGCACTAATCATCAAAGCAAACGGTCACAAAATAGAAAATAGTACGGAAGACGAAAAGTGCCACGCTTGAAATATTTTAGCCGTGTAATTTTATGGTTTACAAATACTATGTGTGAGTTTGAAATGTAAAAAAATAAGTATTTACTAAAGAGCTCTGAACACTGAAATGAACGAAGTATAAATCTAATCTAGAAGAAATGATGACACATTCTTACTGCATGGTTATTTTTACATTTGGAATATCTAGATTTTAACCAAATTTCCTCAACGGTTCCCGTCTTTCGTACGGACACAAACGTCAAAAAGATCATAATTTTACCAAAACTGGAAATGCTGTTTTTCAAACGTCTTAGAAAGTTCATTTGATGCCTCGGAAAATGTCATCATGTTAGCATATTCATGGAGTATTTTCTAAAATGCTCAAATTATCATGTAAAGTCGTAATAAGTACTTTAGATATTTTATTTTGTATTCTTAAACAATCTGTATTTTACGGAGCCCCTGAAGTCCCAAAAAGTAAACAAATAAATATCTTGTGCGCACTAGGTGCGCCGTAGTATTTTCTTTCATGAATATTTGGTAATTTAACCTTAAAATTACCTTGGGATTTCAGGTAAATTTGCCCATTGTCTTCTTAAGATAACCTTGTCCACCAAAACAAACAAAGGACCGGCTGACTTGTGATTTCCAGATGACAAAATAATTGTAAAAAGTCTGCTCTGACCTGTACAGATTAATTTGCAAGTCAAGCCATTCTTTCAATACTGTTTGCGTAGCTTTACCACTTTGTTTGGTTGTTAAATTGTGCATTATTGGATG